CCACCCCCCCAACCCCGCCCCGTGATTTTTAGCATTTGGAGAATTTGAGGGTTGGCCAAGGCAGTTTCTGTTAGAAAAAGGATGGATGAAGAGGGCTGGCTTGATGCCAATATGGATATTTGGCCAGTGATGATAATACCACAGCAGTTTGTCTTGACCTTTGTTTGACCTTATTCTAGAAATACTTTCTCGTTCAAAGCTTTCCATGACAAGAGGGCAAAGAAAGCATAACATGAGAGTGTCTTGGATTGTGCTTCACGGAAATGTCTCTTCCAGGGAAAGATATTATGTGTGGACTGTCCTCTGGCCATTTCTCTTCCCCCACACTGTTTGTTTGAGATGGATAATTGGAGGATAATTTTGAAATGTCTCCATTATGTGATCTGTTTCAGTTAAGCGCCTCTTAAATTTCTCATTTAATCCCAGCAAGACTGGTTTGTTGTTCCTAGGTGAGACTAGGAGACTTCAGTGCATGACTGAGTTCTCAGGACTAGTCATAGTGGAGTCAGAATTTGTACCCAGAAGTGAGACCCCAGAACATGGCCCCTTAGCCAAGCTGGCTCTTTGTGGAAGAACCCAGCCCTGGGGATCTCTGCAAGAGAGCTAGAACATTGACGTGGATTTTATTTCCCTTTGCTTAAAGGTGGTCCTCTTGATTGATGATTTGTACTAGTATTTTAAAATAGCTTCCGATAAGGAAAGGTGGAATGAGACCTAGAGCTTCCTGGTGCGAAGTATACCAGAACCTATTAGGATAAGGTAATTACAGATGAATGTGTTCACTGATGGGCTCACTTGAAAGTTTGTGCCTCTTTTCTCCCTGATCTCTGGCAAAAGGTTCAGAGGTCTATATGGGTATCTATTTTCTGGCCCTTTGTCAGGTTGCAAAGAAATGATCAGAACTATTAACAGTGGAAGATTATACCTATGTTATACTTGTGATTTTTCTGAATATTATAAATGCAGTATTAAAAATTAGTGTATGAGAAGGCTGGCAACATATTCAATGTAGTCATTTTTGGAAACTATTAATGTTTCATCTCTATCTCTTTTTATGGTAAATTTGGGTTTCAAGGAAGGTTTAGATTCCTTGGCTCTTGTCTTTCAGAGCTCTGCTGGGAAGCTTTTCATTGCAGAGACTAGCCCTTCATCTTTGTCCTTAGCGCTCTGAAGTTGGTCTTTTTGTTTTTGAATCTCTGCCCTTTTTTTTGACTTATTGATGTACAGTTGTAAAGAAGTCCCCTTTGTTGTCATTTTAAAGGTAGTCTTTTAAGAAAGTAACCCCATTATGGGTACCAATACAATTAAAGTCCATTGGGTATGTTTTAAGCAAGGTAGTGCTATTTAACTGTTCTGTGACATCATGCATATTTATGAGGAATCACCTGAGCTTTTATGATTTTAGGTTTTCTCTTGCTTGCTTACATTTCTGCAAGCTAAATAAATGTATTCAGTCAATATTTGAGAGCATTTGTGTACCATGCACTGTGCTAAGCATTGTTAATAAATATTACGTGGTTGCCAGGTGGTAGACCTGTCTTAGGACACCTGGGAGATGGCAGGACACAAAAGCACATTCTGGTGGAGGAGAGTCATAAGGAATGCATGCAGTAGACAGAAGTGCAAAAATAGAGCAGAGATGAGAGATAGGGAGTATCCAAGAGCCTGGTTGCAATTTTAAATATTTGGGTTCAGCATGGCTTCATAAGGAAGCATTTGTGTGCAGTGTGGTAAGTGGGCCCTACCCTCACATGGCTTCTGGTCTAGCGATGACTGCTTCTTCATGAGAACTTACCATGAGGCTGGGGATTCTCTTAAGTACTGTGGACATTTCCTCCTAGTCTACTAAACTGGGGAGCATTCTTCTCAGTATCATCAGAAGGAAATGGAAGTTTTTGAGTGTCAAATTGCTCAGATGAACATAGTTAGCAGGATCCAGATCTGACCGGAAGCCCATTCTCTTAAACATGGCCCGACAGCATGTTCACTCTTTAAATGTTTATGGAGGAATTAACCAGCTCTGAGATTGGTCTGCCTTATTTTTTGTTCTCTTGTGTTGGGCAGTGACTTGGCTGGCTCATGGAAAGTCTGTGTTAGCATGAGCTTCCCCACAAGCCTGTTCTATTTGAAAGGCTTTGGGGTTTGGTTTTGTGCCCAATGGCCACAGTAGGTAAAGAAGCCACATGGTTACTGACTTCCATCCAGTGGGATGTGTTTGTTCTGTGTCGGAGAGTGGCCTCTGTTGACTCCCGCAAATCATTGACAACTTGAATTCCTGGCATTGCATTTCAGTGATAGGATACGAATTTGGCTGGCTTATGTGTCATTGTGTTCAAGAACACATTATAAATGCTCATACTTAGAAGGGAATGTAAAGTGTGTGAAAAGTTGAAGTGCCCAGGTTATTGCTTATTTTGTTTATTACAGAATAGACCATATATATTTATAATGATTGTTTTATTGTAATAAAAAGTAAGTGGTAAAGGAGTGTGTTGGAATAGAAACCTTTATGGGGGGATGTGGAAAGGAGGTCAGGGGTTCAAGAGCCCTCTGTTATTCTTTTGCCCTTACTGTGCTTACGATAACATTTGACTCAAATCGTCCCACTTTCAACAGAATGGCAATTTTCAGCATAGTCTGTCCTTTGACTTGAGTATTAAAGGTTCTTAAGTGCTTTGGCTAATTTAATTTCTGAGGTGTGTATGCTGATCATTCTTCTAAAAAGAAGCTATCTATTTTACAACTCTATGTGCTATTTTTTATGGTCAGTTTTTAGTGATTCCCCCTCCATTAACTACTTCCAAAATTAAATGTTGATTTTTACAAGGTGATTTTCTTTTACTTAGGAGATAAGCTATGATTTGAGCACTTAAGTTGTACAGTTTATTCTTTTAATTTACTTTTTTTGGAGTATAATATACACATATTAAAGTTATACATTACAAGTGTACTATTCAAAGACTTCAGAGGTCAGGGCACCTGGGTGGCTCAGTGGGTTAAAGCCTCTGCCTTTGCAGCTCAGGTCATGGTCTCAGGGTCCTGGGATCAAGCCCCGCATTGGACTCCCTGCTCATCGGGGAGCCTGCTTCCCCCTCCCCCTCTGCCTGCCTCTCTGCCAACTTGTGATCTCTCTCTCTCTCTCTCTCTCTCTCTGTTAAATCAATCAATCAATCAATGAATCTTCAAAGACTTCAGAGACAGAACGCAGGTGGGTAGTCAGCTTCCAGATCAAAATGAAGAGAAGTATCATGTCCTCTTATTTGTTCTAATCCTTCCACCATCCTTCCCACAAGGGTAACCACTCTTCTAACACCGTATCTTTGGTTTTTTACTTCCTGTGAGTGAAAATTACAATCTGTATTGTTTGTGTCTGGCCGCTTTTGCTTCTCATTGCTAGACTGAATCGTATAGTCACGTGTAGTTGCAGATTGTTCATTCTTATGGCCGCATAATGTTTCATTGTGGGTATTCCCTGATTTAGCCATTCTATTTTTTTTTTTTTTTTAAGATTTTATGTATTTGTTTGACAGACATCAGAAGTAGCAGAGAGGCAGGCAGAGAGGGGGTGGGGAGCAGGCTTCCTGCTAAGCAGAGAGCCCAATGCGGGGATCATGACCTGAGCTGAAGGCAGAGGCTTTAACCCACTGAGCCACCCTGGCACCCCAGCCATTCTATTGTTAATGACCTATGTGCAGTTTCCAGTTTATTCTATTATGAAGGGTGCTTCCATCAACCTTCTCATATATGACTTTTGGTGAATATATGTGAGCATTTCTGCTGAATCCCAGCTACAGCCATGCATTCCAGCATTTCTGCTGTATTATAATCCCAGGTGTATACCAGGGATTGGAGTTCCTGTGTGTAGAATATGCATGTACTCAGCTTTTGTAATTATTACCAGGTGGATTAAAGGTTAGTCATTAAATAAATTTACATTTCCGCAGTAGTGTAAGAACCCATAGATTTTATTTTTGTCCTGTTTTGGGGTAGATAGGAGGTGCATGTTGTTCTAAGGTCCATTTCATTTCATGTTTGTTTTCTGGAAAGGAATGGCTGTAGCCGTCTCACTGATTCTTTGAAAGTTAAGTTAAATGTTTGTGTGGGCATTCTCTCCCCTTTTACTTTTTTGTGTTCAGGTCTTATACGTTAGATATGTATTTTATATCTCTCCTATGTACATATGACATATATGTATATACATTTTATGTGGAAAATATAATACTTACAGACTTTTAGGCCAGAAAGTTTATCTAGTTCTGGCTTCTCCAGTCTCTGAATTAGCAATGATCCTGCTTCAGTCTGTCTCATGACAGGAAGCACATTAGTTGAGGGTGGCCTCTTGTTAGTTAACTGATGTTGCTTCTTCAACACTGAGGTGACATCTGCCTCCTTTTACCTTCTCGCATAAATGCCATGCCCTTTCATAGGTGCGGGAGAAAACTCATGATTCTGTGACAGAGTGAAATCTCTTCAGGCAGAGAGATTCATGCCATTTTTAAAACTGTAATTCTCAACATCTGCAGGACCTTGATCTCTGAGCATTTTGCTCTGAGGAATTTGGGTGAAAAACCCATGGACGATGGAAAAGAAAACTCCATGAGAAACTCCGCACCCCACCTCACCCCCACCCCGCTCTTTAAGGTTTTTGCCTTTTCTCCATTTTTGTGCCATGAGGCACACTGACCTGCCCCACTTTTGGATGGGTTAAAAACACTGCTTAAAATGAAAATACAAAAAATGCAAATGGTGTGTTAAAAAAAATCAGACTAATGAAAAAAATGAGAAAAAGACAGCCTTGCTTTTTATAGAAAATGGACCATTCTATTTCATGAAATCAGTGAACATGGAAAAACTCTGATGGATAATATGCAGTCGAAGGTTTTTGAATGTCCAGGTGGTAATAATATTCATAGAACATTAGAATAAAAAGGAGTTTTTTCTACTTAATAATTTAAAGCTCATAGATATTACTTAATAGACATTTTCTTTTTTCTTTACAGGCAAGAAGAGACTGATAGGAGAGTGAAAAATGTAAGCTATATTTAAGGGAACATTATTAATGGTTTTTTACTTATGTATTCTGTAATAAGGCTGTGGGATCTAAAAATATCCAATATGCTGTGAATCCTTTTTCTAGTGGAATTGTTCCCAGTAGCCAAGCAGTGAGGAACTCGAAGTATATTTAATATTAAATTGTATATTCTCTGATGTCAGGGGGTAAGAGGGGAGGTGGGACCTGGGGGGTGGGTCCTTATACGTGAGTAAGGTGGGAAAAACAAATGAATGTACTTCAGGATCTTTAGAGGAGTATGTCAAACCACCAGATCAGACTTTAAGGAAAAAGACTGAATGTTTAAGAACTGTGGGTAATTGCTCAGTGCAGTTATATGTCTAACATTCTGCATAGTAGAAGAATTTCTAAAGGTGTGAATGTTTTATTTAAAAAAATACAAGAGTACCCTATTAAGGAAGCTGAGGATTACTGATTTTAAGGGTTCAGTCTAAAAGTTTGTCAGAAAAATTGATTGCTTTTAAAGTTTAATTCGGTTTCTTCATAAATGTTCTCCCTTTATGTACTGCTAGAGTATACAAATAGCTGTTGGGATCTGAGCTTTTGGTCTGAGAACATGCTCAGAGACAGAAATCGAAGAAAAATTAATGTTTTTAATGATCCTTCTCCTTCACATAATTTAAAAGAAACTCTACTTTTCAGCCTCCATAGATATGCTATCTTCTGTCTAGAGTGCTAACCAGCATCTGGACTTGCAGTTAGTTACTAAATAGACTAATCTTGTTGTTTTCGTGGAATTTTTCAAGGTTTTGATAACATTGTACTGGTTGGGAAGAAAAGCACAAAGTAACCCGTACTATAATGGACCCTATCTTAATTTGAAAGCATTTGAGAATCTTCTAGGACAAGCTCTGACTAAGGTAAGGAAACCACATTTGGATGAGATGACTACTGTTCCCAACACTACTACTTCCTCCTCCTTCCCCCACCTCCCTATATTCCTTTCCTTCCACTTCTCCTCTTCCTTATTCCCCTCTTCTAACAAATATGGCAGCTCCTATTATCTTTATTCCACTCTAGATTGTGCTGGGTAGAAAGGGTTGTTACCGGTTTTATACACTACCACCAAGGAGTGAGTGAGTCTAGGTATTTCTTTCTTAGTTTTAGGTAATTCAATGACCTACTCATTTGCTTCCTTTCTAAGGCTCTTGATATAACTTAACTCTTTCTATATTAGGAACTCAATCTGTAGTAGAGAGGTGCTTTAGGACTATTACAGGTGTGGAATTTACTCAGTCTCTCTGTCTTAATATCTTGTCATGGGCCATTATATCTTCAATGCCCATGCTCCAGTTTCCGCATGATTCTGCCATATTGCTGCTTTTACCTGGAGAGCAGTAAATGCTGTTACATGGAATATGATAAGGGATTTAAGTTAGATTCTTGTCCTAGACACATTTCTAGTCCTTTATATATTGGAGTCCGTCTTGCAGCTTTTGAATATTTAAGGATTGTTTGAGGAGAGTCCAGTGCTAGGGCTGACCACAGTTGTAGCAAATTTTCTTTTGTAAGATCCAAATGGGAAAATCAAGTTTTCTAGGGGAATATTGATCCAGGGGAATTTGCAGTGCTCAGAAGAAAATAGGTAACTAAAATAATATGCTACCGTCTAATTAACAGTAGTTGCTCCATGGATTTTTATGATGATTAAATGGCACTGTACTGAGAAGGTATTTAACATTAGTCTGTGGCACACTGTAAGGATGTAATAAATGTTAGTTACCATGATTGGAAGATAGAAATGTTACGATGAAGATGAGCACCTTGCCTTACATTGACTCTGATCTTTAAATACTTCTGCCTGAGCCCAGCCACATACATTGCAGAAAGATGAGATTATAGGTATTCCTTCTTGATTTTTATTGTTTTTCAGTTGGAGAGAGTTGATAGTACTTCACTCAAATTTTTTGAAAGAATTAATTCAGGTATTAGAGTTATCCTGCACAAGCATTGTTCTAGATGTTGGGAGAACACTCGCAAAAGGCCATCCTCCTAGAGCACCACTGTCTGAGGGAAACAGATGAACAGATAGGTCACTGCAGTGGGAGAGGATAAGGCTGTGATGGATGACGGTGGAGGTAGCTTGGGACATGAGCAGAGCCTTGCCTTCCAGTTATGTCAGCTAAGAAAACTTCTAGTTAAAAATAGTATGGGACTTTGGCTCCTGTATTAGTGCTCTCTTCCAACCTTTGGTTCTTTTTATGGCAGTCTGACTCAGGTTGAACAATCCTAGTACAGCGTTTGTGCTGGGGAATTCTTTATTCAAAGCTGTTTCCTGTCACTAGTGTCAAAACCAGAGTAGGTAAAACATTTTCATAGATAAAACTACAGCTGTTTCCAGTCCATTATCATGGAATGCGGATGGCCATAAGAAGTGTGTCAATATATCTATCTGGTCACTGTTTCGCATCTGTTCTGTTAACAGTCACTGTGTTCAAGTGTTTCACGCTGAAATAGATAATGCTTAATGGCCAAACCAGAGTGTCAGTTAAAAAACACACTTGGTAAGCTGTCGTACCTGAGTCATCTTATAAACTGGAGGTGACTCATTTTAGGTGACTGGTCAGAGGGAAGTTCTTGTAAAAACCAGACACCAGAGCCAGACTCAGGTTCTTTTATCACTGAAGTGGCTCATCATCAATAACTTGAACATTTTATGAGGTCAAAAATCATCTCTCTCTGTGTCAAGGACTCTGAGATTCAACAAGTACGTATCTAAGAAAACTGATGGATCTAAAGATTTTCCCAGAAATTTAAACATCTTTTTATATTTTGAGAAGTATTTTGGTGGTATCAGCACTAGGCCCAGCTTTCCCATCTCCTTGGAAATGAGATACAAGTTGTAGGTGCTCACGTTTTCATGGCAGGTTGCCAACTCTAATGCCAGGGTATCTGGTGTCTAATGTATATGAAATCTCACATAAATCCACTAGACCTTAAGGGTGCTTCATATATTGGTCAGAGACTTGAGCCAAGAATGGACAGATCCAGTCTCAGCCAAAAGTGTGCCCAGGACAGCTGCTAATTATGCATTGTGCACATTCTTTTTTCAACTTTATCCATATGTTGAAAATGTTCACAAATGAAAGTTGAAAGAATCGTACAACAAATATCTAGATATGTGTCATCCGACTCAACTATTAAAATCTTCCCTTTATGGGCTTTACTTGTCTAAATATGGGCTTTACTTGTCTACCCATTCATTTGTTTCTACTTAATCATTTCAAGGTAAATCACATATCTTTCACCTCTGAAAACTTAGCAAGCATCTCTTAAGAGTAAAAGTATTCCTCTGTGTAGCTACAATGTCTGTTATACTGAAGGAAATTAGTAAATGTTCCCTACCATCTAATATCAAGTCCATATTCAAAATTAGCCAACTGTCTCCCAACTTTCGTTGATGGCTTATTTTATCTGAATTCTGATTTAATCAAGATTCACATATTACATCTAGGTGTTACGAATTCCGGCATTCTTCAAACTCTCTGTAGTTAGCTCATCTGCAGCTAGCATTTCTGATTTGTCCGCTAATGACAAATTCACCTTCACTGTAGGAAAAAGTTAGTCATAGATATTCTTTGATTATTATATATTGGGACAGTGCTAAGGACTTTATAATTTTATTGAAATTCTAATTTTAAAAAGTCTAGTTTTATTTTGCTATTAACATTTTCATAGAGAAATGTTATTAAAAATAATGCTACACACACACACACATACACATATATATCTTTTAAATATATCTAACATATATAAAATATCTAAATACCAGATCTTCTAAAGATTTTACTTTTAAATAATCTCTGCACCCAACATAGAGGTCAAACTTAAAACTCCAAAATCAAGAGTCACACGCTTTCATCCCCCCAAATTATGCTTTTAAATGAAGTTCTGTATAATTTACAAACCTATGGCTAATCATGTTTGTTACATGTCTGTATATATGTCTTACATGAGCCAAACAAATACTTATTTGGATTCAGAGAAAGTAAATTTTGAATACCCACAAGCAAGTCTGCTTTCTTGGTGGATCTAGGTTTTTTGTAATCAATGAAGATGAGTGAATTCTGTGGTGTGTGCTTGCTGCCCCTGCCCTTCTTTCTGTTTTTAAAGGTTTTTGTTAAGAAACCATAATAATCTGAAGGGTTTGAAGAGGTGGGGGTGGTGGGAGGTTGGGGGAACCAGGTGGTGGGTATTAGAGAGGGCATGGACTGCATGGAACACTGGGTGTGGTACAAAAACAATGAATACTGTTATGCTGAAAATAAATTTTAAAAAAAGATTAAAAAAAACATAATAATTACAGTGACTTCATTATAAAACCTCCAAATATTTCCTGGAGGTAGGCTGACTATAATCTTATGAACTTACTTCCTTTTGGATATCAAAATTAAGGTTGGCTTTTTGCTTTGACTCCTTTCATGTTTATTGCCAGATAAATCATCACTGACTTTAGAACTTGAATGTATTATTAGCTTTTCTTCTCTTAAAATGTTCCCCCATTATTTTTAAATAAATGATAGTCTTTTATTAAATAATATTGAATGCCTCCTTTTTTTTTTTAATATCTCCTTATTGTTACAAAGGTGCCAAGTATTGTGGGAAAACATTTACAGATTTATACTCTGATTTTTGCCAGATTTTCTTTTTATGGTTCACAGAGAAATCTCATTGCCTTCCCTATCAAAAATAGCACAACTTGAGCTCTGCAAACAAGTAAAGACTGATTGCATTTTTGGAAGTTTATAATAACTTCTTTAAAACTTTTCCTTTAGGCTCTAGAAGACTCCAGCTGCCTGAAAAGGAGCGGCAGGGACAGTGGTTACGGGGATATCTGGTGTGCTGAACGTGGAGAATTTCCTACTTCTCCAGGCAACCATAAGCGAGAAGATTCCTTTGAAAGCTTGGACTCCTTGGGGTCTAGGTCATTCACAAGCTGCTCTTCTGATATCACATTGAGAGGTGGACGTGAGGGTGAGTTGCATTTTTGACTGTTTAGTTTTAATGTGTTTGCATGTTAAGAGAAATTTGGGAATGGTAGGAGAAAAGTGGAGCAAAATCTATTAGGGCAAACATTTTACCAAAATGTGGATTTTCACAGAGACTAGAATATTGAGGGTTTTATTTTTCCTTTTCTTTCTCTTTTTCTTTTTCTTTGTCTTTCTCATTCCTTCCTCACTGTATCACCACTAGAATGGTGATAGTTTTCACTTTTTTTTTTTAATCCTTCCATGTTTAGAGGAAAGTGGGGAGACTATTGAGACCTGTTGAGTCAGTGATAATCTATCCTCATTCTCTTTTCTCCAGATTCAAGTTTAATAATCTGTGCTCTGAGGCCTATTCACTGATACATTTACACATAAAAAAGAAAGATTCTATAAAAGTCTGTTCTGGTTCCTGAATAATTTTCTCCCCAAAAGATAAAAATAAAAAACTTCTCTTAAGGAAAAGCAAGAAGAATATTTCCGTAATTCTCTCCCCAAAAAAGATTGATACCTATCACGATGGAGTATTATGCTAAACTTTGATAAATTAAATAGCCATACTAGCATGGTATTAGAAAACCTCTTTTTTAAATTTTTTTTTAAAGATTTTTTTTTTTTTTTATTTGACAGACAGATCACAAGTAGGCAGAGAGGCGAGCAGAGAGAGAGAGAGAGGAGAAAGCAGGTTCCCCACTGAGCAGAGAGCCTGATGCAGGGCTCGATCCCAGGACCCTGGGATCATGACCCGAGCTGAAGGCAGAGGCTTTAACCCACTGAGCCACCCAGGTGCCCCAGAAAACCTCTTTTGCTTCTCTAGTCCAGAGTAAATCCAGGACGGTGTGAGGAAAGAACATGCAAATGAAAGTTACTCTGTTATGAGAGGACCCTTTTTTCAAAATCCTGATCAGTTATTTAAGTGTATGTCTTCTTCCAGTGGCCATTGGGTGGTGTCAGAAATTTCTTAAGTGTACCTCTAACAATTCAAATTTAAGTAGATTGAAACCACCAGTAAAATTTCTGCTTCTACCATCAACATGAAAACATTGAGAGTTCTGGTCATGAATTTGTGCTAGATTGTTAGGGATTTTACTTTGCTAGTTATATTGATAATCACATTTAAATTTTTAGTTGTTTTTCCTAAGGTTCTTATTACAAAACATTTAAAACCTCAGCAAACTTGAAAGAATTTTACAGTTGAAGACCCATGTTCTGGCCACCTAGTTCTACCATGACATTGTACTGTGTTCGCTTTACACATATTTACCCCTTTCTCTGTACATTACTTATACATCTTGTTTTTCCGAGGTACCTCAGAGTACCTTATACTTGTCCTAAATACTCAGCACACAGTCATCAACAACAACCTTTGTTGTTGTTCTGATGTAGTTTTACATAAAATTGATGTATGATGGATTTGGTTTTGAAAAAGAAAATTAATCAACAAATTAAGTATCACCAACCCCCACATTCTTAGGTTTTAGAGCAGTAGTGACATTTGAAATTAAAAAAGTAAATAGCTATCTAAGAGTTAACCTTTTATATTTACTGCTGTGTTGTTGGTTGTCTGCTTTCCGTTGGTTGCCTGCTGTCTGTCGTCTGCTCTCTGACATTTCCATAGCCCAGATGACCAGCACAGTTTTAAGGAAATGAATCTGAGCTTATAATTCATCTGAGTGATTAAAGCTGTAAAAGCAGAGGCTGAAATTCTCAACACACTATTTTGCTTTATGCTGACTGGATAACCTAACACATTCACCGTTTACATGTATCCAGCCCACAAAGACTGAGGGCATGTGGGAATAGACTTCCAGTGCTTCCTGTACAGTGGGCCTATGGTGTGGAATGAAAGTCCTCTCCTCAGATACTTGTTGGAGTGGATGCCTGGTACATGTGACAGAAAGCAGAAGGCCACCGTCCCCTGCTTCCTAGTGGGGAGGGAGTTGCAGAGCTTGTTTGAAGAGGGCGGAAGGGAAGGCTAAGTCCTTACAACTGAGGAAGAGAAGAAAAGCCTACTGGCTGCACAGATAATCGAACTTTTGTGATCAGTGTGCTGAAATTCTGCTATGTACTGGTTGTAATCCCAAACTGATCTCCTCCGTTAGGATAATATTTTTAGGTTAACAGCATTGCAGAGTCAAGGTGCTTGGTTTTATATAAAACCCCTTATTCTATCGAGAATATTTGCCTACTCTGTAGGAAACTCCACTGGACTCAAAAATAAAGAGATTTTAAGTTTAAATATTCCAACGTAGAATAATCTCACTGTGTGTTTAAAATTTCACAGGTAGGGGCGCCTGGGTGGCTCAGTGGGTTAAAGCCTCTGCCTTCGGCTCAGGTCATGATCCCAGGGTCCTGGGATCGAGCCCCGCATCGGGCTCTCTGCTCCGCAGGGAGCCTGCTTCCTCCTCTCTCTCTGCCTGCCTCTCTGCCTAGTTTCTCTCTGTCAAATGAATAAAATATTAAAAAAAAAATTTCACAGGTACACATTTTGGCAAAACTCTTTAAGATCTTTCTTCTTTGCCAAAGATGTCATATTTAGGAGGTCATAAAAATGAAGCATCAGACTCTTCACCCTCCTGGTCATAGCTGCTGCTGCTTCCTCCCTTTCTGCCTTTTCTCCCTTACCCTGTTCCGGCCTCCTGGTCTCACAGGGGTGTGCTCAACCACTTCCTGTAGGCTATTCTCAGTGTTACTGAGTATAGATTTCTGGTGAGCAGGAGAGAGGAGACCAGACCGGCTCCAGCACAGGTTAACCCTATAGGGGTTCTTAATGCCGAGAGGCTACAGTTCTCAGGTCCTCGGGTCCGTGGGTATGGAGCAAGGCCATGTTCCCAGGGAGCCCTGGTGGGAAGCAAGAAACATTTGCAAACTTTCTTTACAGATACACAGAAGCAGGAAGAAAAGGGCAGATAAGGGGGACAACTCAGCTTGGATCTCTAGTAGTATTTTGTAGCCTCTTTTCTTCCTGTTCCTTTAAAAAGAGCAGACTTACTTGTTTTATAAAAACAGATCAGTATTTGTATCTGTCTGACCTTGAGGTGTGTCAAAGTACATTGTTTTGAATTTGTGTTTGAATGATTTGGGATCAAAACACAAGGTTCCCAATATTTCCATGGCTACCCTCAAAAAACCTTGAGTTGTGTGTGTTCTTTTAGGAATGAGACTTGATATTCCTTTGGACCAACTGATTTCTAAAGTCCCAGCCTCCTTTCTGATGTGTGACTTTTGCTTCTAGAGGTCTCACAAGGATCTGGCTAACCCCTTTGTGATATTTTGCTTTCTGCTTCTCTTTCCATGTCCTCCCTTATCTCTCACCTCACAGAAATTTGAGACAACGGCATACTTTATTTTAAATTATGGACTTTCCCTTGAATGACTCTTTGATCTCATTTTAGGCATCTTTGACTCGACCGCTACGTGTTACTCACTACAAATTTATTGCGTCCCACTAATAAATTTGATGTAAAGTCACAGGGGCAAGGAATATTGGGAAGAGAAGGAATTCAGTGGTTAATGGGGACGTTTTCTGCTTAGACTATACAACAGTAAAAGAATGTAGCGCATGCGCCTACAGTATGCAAAGCAAGTTCCTCCTAATGGATCTTATCACAACTTCATGACAAATTTCTAAAAATATTCCCCAGAGTTAGCAGAAGAGCCCCGGGTTTCCAAGGGAAGGACAAAGCGGGCTTGCTGTGTGGGTTCAGTTAGACAAATGATCTGGAGAATAAAGCAAATTCTCTTGCTTTTTTTATAGGTTGTGAAAGTGACACAGATTCTGAATTTACATCCAAAATGCAGGATTATAATAAAGATGATATGTCCTATCGAAGGATTTCAGCCATTGAACCAAAATCTGCTTTACCGTTCAATCGTTTTTTGCCCAATAAAAGTAGACAGCCATCCTATGTGCCGGCGCCACTGAGGAAGAAAAAGCCAGACAAAAATGAGGATAACAGAAGAAGTTGGGCCAGCCCGGTGTATCCAGAAGCAGATGGAACATTTCCAAGGTACTGGGATGCAAGCTGATGATGGTGTTTTAAAATTCAGTATGCTTTGTGAATTTGCTGGGATTTTAAATATGGGAAAAGGAATGGTTCTTAAAATGTATTTCATGGTTAATAAATTTCAATAATGAAAAATTTTTTTTCTTACCTATATCTCTAGTCATGCATATCCTGATGATATTTCTTCCATTTAAAGTGTCAGCCTAGGAAGAGCCGGTTCTATTTTAGATGCATGCCTTTAGCCTAATGACATCTTTCAGCTGATTAGATGACTTTTGTTGTTCATGGTGAGCAGTTATTTTCTTCCATTTTTTTCCCTGTCTTGATTGATCTCAGTGGACACACAGACAGTCCTTTAATTTCCCATCAAATTAGCAGAGCAGAGTGGGATTTGTCAAATGCAACTTGCGGTCAGAAGGAAGTGAATGGTTCTGAAAGTGGTTCGGACTCCGAGGATGAACGAAGGTTGCCTGATATAGTTTTGGATGACTTAGCCAACCGTAGATTCCGAGTGAAAAAGAGGCCCGAGTGTTTCACATCGAAAACCACCTCTCCTAGCTCTTATTCACCAAGGTTTCCTCCTGCTGACACATTAGCCTCTGGGCCGTACGCACTGACGAGGTCAGAAAAATTCTCCCAGATCAGAGTGTCTGTGATGTTGGTTTTAATACATAACACCCCAGGTTGTTTGCAGTTTGTCTCTTTTTAACACATCTCATAATTATCTTTGGCCCTTGTGTATCAAGTTATTCTCTAATTAAAATGAGATGCCATTATAATGCCTTAACTTTGTTCTAGGAACTATAATGATGAGAGTGGCAACTAATTTGTCCCATCCAGTGGCATAAACTCTGTGAGCCAAAAAGCATGCCTTTTTGTTCTGTGTCACAAATTGTCATTTGGTATCTTAACCGGTTGGATGTTTTGAACAGTAACGAGAGGAGAACTTGGGGCAGAAATGTGGAGAACTGGCCAAGAGTACAAGAAGCTTCAAAGTCCTCTTGTTACTTGGAAGTGGAAGAAGAAAAGACAAGCTTGCCCAACACCATCAAGGATGATCTTTATGTGCGAAAGCTAAGTCCAGTCATGCCAAACCCAGGGAATGCTTTTGATCAGTTTCTTCCCAAATGTTGGATCCCAGAAGATGTGAACTGGAAAAGAATAAAAAGAGAAACTTACAGACCATGGTATAAAGAATTTCAGGGATTCAGGTTTGTCTCTGTGCACGTTTCTGTTGTCCTAGTGTTCCTTCGGCACCCTGGCTAGGTGCATTCTATGTGTGCTGCTTAGGAGAGAGAGAGAGAAAGGTTACTTTTCTCTTCAATACCTATAGAACCTCTGTAACTGCAAAAAAAAAAAAAAAAATGCTGTTTAAATTTAAACCTTAGGACCTGGATCTTAAAAAGCCTTCTGCATGACAGGATTTTCAGTAGTTGTAGTTTTCTCCAACTCTTTCTCCTTCCCTCCCTCCTTTCTCTGCATCATTCTACAGTAGGAGGAATTCAGATTCTGAGGATGAGGATTTGGGCTCGGACAGAAGCTCCTCCATTTTTAGTAGAATCCAAAAAGCAAAACATAGGCTAGACAGCAGCTGCCAAAGACGTTCACTCCTGCTGGAATTGGCTACCAAAGGGGCCAGGACCTCCCGGGACACCCATGCAGCCAGGAGAAGCAGCAGTGCCTCCGAGGAGCCCAGGTGTATCTGTGTGCATGAGCCTGCCCGCCTTGAGTCTGGCCTAGGACCCCTGCGCCAGCTGCTGCTGCTCCATTAATCTCTGACCGTGACGCGCTGGATCCTGACACCTCATTCATAATATTTAGCACAAAAGCCTATTGTATGACGCATTGCTTTCTGTGGGAGCACATAAGCTTGGAAGTTTATAAAGTTAAATATTCTTCAGCGCAATGATGTACATGATAGTACATAGTTATGTGGGGCATAGTCAAATCTTTTGGAAAACTATTTCTAAAAAGCTTTTGCGGAAGTTGAACTTAGTATATGGTTGTGTTCTGTGTGGAGATGTGGAGAAAGGAAATAACTTTTAGATAAACACCAGGGCCTGCCAGTCTTGTGGGAAAAGGCAAAGAAAAGATTCATCAGGGTCTTTTCGAAAGGTTCACAGCATTTTCTTTTCTTTTCTTTTTTAAATTCTGCTGACTACCTGATTGCATAAAGTGCTTGATGACCAACTCTTTGATCTCATCAAGATTGTTGCTGCTTCTCTGGGATGGGGACTACATCACCTTGGCTAACAGAATAAGGGAAGGGAGAAAGCAAATGTATGTACGACAGAGAGGCAAGTGCGCTCTGTCTACGTTCTAGCCCCATCAGTTGACCTGGCTGGTGCCCACCTTTGCCAAGAAGTACACTCTGCATTTGCTTCTTTAAATGGTATCCAAGAAGGTCACGGGTGATGGCGTTAAAGGCTAGTCTTTCTTCCAAGCAAGAATCTCTCCCATGGTACCCTAAAATAATTCACCCATGGTAACGGGCTAGTTGCTCTTCTGCCTAATTACCTTTTCAACCTAAACTTAATAAGATTCTCCCTTCCTTTTTCTTTTCTGTGCTTCAGTCAGTTTTTATTACTTCAGGCACTCCAAACATACTCTGATGACATCTTATCTTCTGAAACAAATATCAAAATTGATCCCACTGCTGGCCCAAGGCTCATAACACGCAGAAAGAATCTCTCTTCTGCACCGGGGTATAAAAGAGATGACCTTGAGATGTCAACCCTCGATCCTGACTTAGAGAATGATGATTTCTTTGTCAGAAAGACTGGAGCTTTCCATGCAAATCCATATGTTCTCCGGGCTTTTGAAGACTTTAGAAGGTTTTCCGAGCAAGATGATCCTGTAGAGCGAGATATAATTCTGCAGTGTAGAGAAGGTGAACTTGTACTTCCAGATCTAGAGAAAGATGATATGATTGTACGCCGAATCCCAGCACAGAAAAAAGAGGTGCCTCTGTCAGGGGCCCCAGATAGATACCAACCAGTCCCTTTCCCCGAACCCTGGACTCTTCCTCCAGAAATTCAAGCAAAATTCCTCTGTGTACTTGAAAGGACGCGCCCACCCAAAGAAAAAAGGAAGAGCTGTAGAGTATTAGTGCCTTCCTACAGGCAGAAGAAAGATGACATGTTGACTCGCAAGATCCAGTCTTGGCAGCTGGGGACGACTGTGCCTCCTGTCAGTTTCACCCCTGGTCCCTGCAGTGAGGCAGACCTCCGGAAGTGGGAGGCCATCCGGGAGGCCAGCAGACTTAGGCACAGGAAACGGCTGATGGTCGAGAGGTCAGAGTGTGTTTCTGAAAGGATTTTGCTTGTCATGGATGGTCTTGTGTAACTTTTCCTGTGTGAGAAAGTGGCATTGTATCGCCCAACTCTGCATGTCACGAGCCATTTTGAAGCATCCTGTAAAGATTTATATTGTTGTGAGAAACCTGTAGTGATTTCTTGGAAAAAGTGCAATTCCATATTTGCACAACTCTAATTCAACTATTTGAGGCCTGTTTTAAAACGTGTAGACACAAACCTTACCTTTGGCCTCAAGGAAGACTATGATACTATCAGCAACATGATGTTTCCGGAAACTGTTTTCCAGCCATGTTTACCGACTTTATATTCTCATGTCCAGGCTTTTCTGAACCAGTCTGGTTGTAGTTTAGTTTTCTGTGTTTCTCATATTTTGGAATGTATGATTTATGTGTAAACATTTCCCTTAAAATATGGCATTGCAAATTTCATTTAACTTAATTATGATTTTTGGTTTTGACCTAGGTTCCTTGGCCTATCAATATATGACTTTTTAAATTTATAGTTTAAAATTCAGCGCAAACCTTATTAAAATGCATGAATGTTATTTGCTGTCTACTACATTTTACCTGTATGCAATTATGGCCATTTTGATAATAATGTGTCTGCATTTATGTGTTGTGCAACTTGCCATTTTGATGTTCAGCTTGTTGAACTTCGGGATGGACAAATACAAGGTTGATTAAAATCAGTAGATCCACATCTAACTTCTATTCCTGGCAACAGGAAGCTCCTTGTTATGGATTTGTTGGTTCGAGGTAAATTAGGAAACTCTTTATCTCGCTTAATTTGATTCCTTGAGATATGAGATCAATTAGAAATTGAGACATTATCAAGAAGGTGATAAAACCTTTTGAGATTTGTCCATCTCTAGTTAGGATCGTAAAGATATTGAACATTTAGAGAGTAGCAAAACTGAAAAGTGACTTTTAATTTTTGGTTTTCTGATTTCTTAGACTCTTTCAAAAGATTTATGGTGAGAATGGGTAAGTTTTTTAGTTCACAGTAAAAAAAAAATCTGTGTATTGTTTGTCCTTTGTGTAAAATGTCACTGCACTTCTATTCTGGCATGTCACTAAATGGGGACGCTGTGTGCTGTGCATGTAATTTTAAAAAATGGGAAATTTTCTTAATTTTGCAACCTAATGGTAATATTTCTGTGCCCAAGTGCACAGTGCATGCAGTGCTATGTGACTGCGGTAGGTTTTTTTTATTAGAAGTTTAAAATTCGGGTCTTTTTTTTCCCCCCCATTCTTTCCCTTTTCCTTTTTTTTTTTTTTTTTTTTTTTTAATTCAAGGAGTTGAATAAAAGTAACACAATTACTTGCCTAAGATTGGGTATATTTAATTTTGTATTTGATTGCTACAAAGACCAAAATTGTCACTTCTGCCTGTTGAAGCCCAAATAAAGCTCTTTTATTCTATTTTATCTTATTTTTTCAAATAAAGTTATTTTAGAACATTTTAGAAAATCTATGATGGAAAAGGAATGCTAGCATTCACTTTGAAGTTGGATTTCATACAGTTGGCATTATCTATATACTCCTATTTTGGGGGGAGCTTTATTAACTGGGATGAGGAATAACATTAATTTTTCCTTAGTAGAGTTTGGAAACATTTTCATGATTCCTGATTAGAGTAAAAAGTTATAATATGGCTGTGTCACAAAGCCAAAATCAGCTTCCCAAAACTGCAAAAATTAAAATCTTTTAAAATTTTCTGGAAATGTTTCCCATTTCTAAAGTAACAGAGAGTTAAAAGCAAATGCTACCATATTTTTACTTTTTACTGCACACTGTAGAATCATTCATTCTTAGTGCAGAATAACCAGGTGAATGCATTTTAATATTTTCCATCAGACTTTCTGTGACTTCGTGAATCTAATTGTTAATAATTTTTGAACAAGAAGAAAATTTAAGTATGTCAAATATTTAAATCTGCCTAAGCCTTTGCAACTAAGTATCTTCCCCCACTGGGATTTATGTCATTTCTAAGAATCTTTAGTTTTGATAGGATTGCATAATTTTTGAAGTGCAGAAGTCTTGGAACTTACTAAAATTACTATTTGAAGCCATATAACCATTCTAGGTATCAAAGGTATAACTGAGTCACAGGCAACTAATTGCAAGTACTTCTCAGCAACTGATTTTAAAAAATCAGTCTCCCAGCATGCTTTCAATGTGCCATGCAAAGGCACATTATTCCCTTTCCAGCTCCTCAGGGCTTAAAGCTTTCTCTTTGGTGAGGGTGAACTGAGGTGCTTGACAGCGTGACGCTTAAGCATCTGCTCATTTCAATTCATCACAGGAAAGCTGTTTTAACGAATGAAAAATCTTTGCAGCTTTGAGCATTTTGAATGAAAACTTCCAGAATTTTCATTGCTAATAAGACCTGATAATGGCAGCAGCTTGTTTTTCTGAAAGAGGATGGAAGTACACTGAGTACAGGCATGGGATCTGGGAACGTGAGCACGCACAGCTATTTCTGTGACTCCTTGTGTTCCTCCGGAGGGATGTGCCCCGTCTGACTGGGCTAAGAAGACAGAAGAGGAACCCAAATGCCAAGTTCAGAAAACTAGAGAGCTTTCTGGCTCTAGCTGGCAGCAGCAAATACCTTCTGTAGACTATTTCCAGATTGTTGCTTGCGTAATACAGTATTTGTTTTAAAGCCTGGTCCCCCTTCTAGTGTAGCGCCACGGTAACACAAATAAAGCAAGGCTGTCTGTAAATTGAGACTGAGGAGTAATGCATGACTTCTCAGATAATGGAGAGTAAAGCGAAAATGTCTTCAGAAAACTAAAGTGCGTTTTATACCACTTGTCATCAATACCTTTTATGTGGACATTTTTTTTCAGTGTTCTATCAGTTAGCAATGGTTTTCTTAAACCGATTTGCTGCAATGAAAACAAAAAGTTGGATTGAGTATAGGCATTTCATCTAGAACTTATTTCCTATTTCTAGACATGTTCATATAACAGGAAACAAGTGATATCTCTTAATGATATTTCTTGGACATCCTGTCCATTTTCAAGCTCAGAATACTTACCTGGAAAATCTTTATTGCTTAACATCCTGTGATTGAAAAATGACTGCCTGTAACGTGAATGCTTTCTTTTTAGTTAAGGACCAGGCGAAAGAGGAGTGCGTATTACCTCTTGAAGTCTTAGCTTATTCATTTTGGGCTTGCTTTTTACTGGCCTTTAACATCTGTCACTCTGTTTATTTTTAATATGATGCTTTATATGTGGTATTTTGTCACATGTGCTTTTTGTGTTGCATGGATTTGTCTGTATGGTTCCGTGACAGTTGAAAACATGGTTATGATGCCTCTTGGCAGAAGCTGTGAATGACAAAGTTGTTGGAAGGGCATGTCGTTATAATTTAGTCCTTGTAGTAGGACTAAGCCATTCAGTCTTCTGCCAGGATCAACAGGAAATGAAAACTGATTGAAGGTAAAGTTGTAACCAGAGACAACTAAGAGATGTACATTTCCTGTGTGGGTTTTGGCCAAAAAATTCTGTACAACTGTGAGGACACCTAAAATAACAAAAAGGAGGGGGCAAATAAAGTAGATGTGAGTTTCTGGGGGTCTTGTCCCTAGCGGACATTCAGCGATATCCATAGACATTTCTGATTGTTACACTGGGTGGGTTGGGGATGGGGGTTTGCTACTAGCAATCTGGTGCTTTTGTATCCTGGGATGCCGCTAAATTGTCCTGCAAGACACAGGACAGCCCCTACGATAAGTAATTTTCTACCCCCAAAATATCAATAGAGCTGCTATAGGGAAAACCTGATTTAGACTGTAAACCTATAAATGAAAAGTTTCTTATATTATCATAGTAGTTTGTAGTCACTCTAGAGCCTATTTTCCAGGTTTTAATACTGATTATGCTTTAGAGAATTCCTACAGTACCTAATGAAAATATATTCAAAAATGCATAAATAAGTATATCCCTATCTTCCCCTGAAAGTTCAGGACTCCAGGGACCCCAGACTTAGTATCATGGAATTTCTACCTGCTCTTTAAAGCAATCAGTGATTTTATATTTAGGACATTTTCTACATGTTGGTCCTTTCTGATCCCTTACTTCTTAGATTATCTCTAGTCTGTGAGGCAGACAGTAGGTATTAGATGCATTGCAGGTACCTGAAGAAAGAGACACAAATATTGCAGCTTTCCCGAGGACGTAGAGCTAGTGAGTGGGAGAACCGGATGAGGGCATCATTTAATGAGCTAACCCAGGTAGACCAGTTGGCAGTGTGACTGGCACACAGTAAGCCCTCAGGAGTTTAATGTTATACTGGTAATTCTGATAAGGAAGGAAAGAATTCTTCATGATCTGGCTGAAAGACTTCTGTACTCAGAAAGTTCTAGATTTTATCAGTGTGGCCTGGGGTGGCCTCGCTAGTCTGAAGCTGTTTTGGGAGTTTTGTTCAAGAGATCCCATGCAGTCATGTTTGCCTTCACAAGAATAGTTGGTATGTAGCACTGATGGTTATTAAAATACATGCGGTGTAACCTTCCTCCTTTTCTTACAACAATCCCTTCCTTGCTTAGAAGACGAGGACCTGAGGCTCAGAGAAGCTAAGTGATGTTAGGTTGGGGTACAGATTGGTGCCACTACCAGGCTTGGAAGCCTCAGCAGGGTCCCCAGTGCTCGGTTCAGCCTGAATGGAATGTGCCCAGGCTTTCTTTAGGTAACTTTACACCCTCAGGAACAAAGGGAACTCCCATTACTGCCAGACGGCAGGGATTAGTCTGCTCTGGACTGTGTTTGGCTCCCTTGGTTCACACTGGGGATCTCCTCCTAGGTGCCCGGCTCTATGCTCTGAGCTCTCAGGAGGACAATGTAGCCTCTGTTCATGGTGAACATGTTCTCTGTAAAGGACTGTGTTAAGGTTTTATAGTGCAGGAGGGTGAGAGCTAATTGAGCGTGCGTGGATGTGTCTGGGCCAGCCGAGACTATCAGCCTTCCCTCCTACCAAAAGATTATTAAAATATTAGCATTTCCGTGTTTGTCCTGGAACTTATGAAATCTTATGTGTTGGGTATCCAGATTATTCTCATGCATTGGTCCTGAAAAATATTTTCTTCCCTCTTTTTAGGAAGTCTGTTAAAATCCGAGCACAAAAAGTCTCATTCTTTGTAGTTATAGCTTAATTTATATTTTCAAAATCACATAAGTCAGGTTTATATATAGTCATACCTAGTTAGGTATATATTTTTAAAGAGCCAGTATATAACTTGATATATATTTTATGTGTAATTCCTTAATACTCTTCAATAAATCCTACAAAGCTTTTCTTACAAAACATTGGGGAGGAAATCCTGATTTATCCTACACACACAAAAAGAAACACTTTGAGTTTATTTTGCTTGATTAAGTATGATAAAAACATACCTCATTCTTGCCACAGGTGTTAAATGCATGTATCCTACATGCCTTGTTATGTGTTAATGGGTTTTTCTCCAAATGACATGTGGACTTATGAGGGAGCTAAACTAAGCACGCGCGCATGTGCGCGCAAACACACACACACACACACACTATCCTGTAATGCTGAATGATAATGCTAGGAGAAAGGTATAGCTAAAGCATTAGAGGAGTGGAGAGATAGACCAGACCATTTTTGGCATAGAAGAGGTAGGAATTATTATCAAAGTGGTAGAATATTCTCTAGATCAGCACATTTATCAACACCTACCATGGGCTGGGCACTCTTCTAGGCTGAGGTGATACAGGAGACAAAATTCCTGCTTTGTAATCTTATAGGATGAGGCAGGTGATGTGTCAATAAACATTTCAAATGGCAATAAATGCTATGGAGAGAAAGGGTGAGGGATAAGGTGGCCAAAGGAGAGGGGCATTTGCTCTTTTGTGTAGGGTGGTCTGGGAGGGAAACACTGAGGTAATGTCCAAGCAAATGACTGGAAGAGATAAGCCATATGATTGGTTGAAGAGTCAGTAGAAGAGCAGGAGGTTGGGCACATGCAAGGAAACCAGTTGGCTGGAGCAGTGTGAGTGAAGGGGAGCATGATGGGAGATGAGCTGAGAGAGGTGGGCAGGATCCAGGTAATGTCCTAGGTCTTGGAAGAATCTGCTTTTAACTTGTGTGAAATGGAAAGAAACTGGTGGGTGCACGGTACAGAGATGTCACGATCTGAGTGCAGTTTTGAGAAGATCCCTTTGGTTGTGCTTTAAGCATACACTGTTGAGCAGGAAGGGGTAGAAGCAGGAAGACTGATTATTGTAATAATCCATGTGGGAGATACGATGGCTTGGATCAGGGTGGTAATGGTAGACGTGGTGAGAAGTGGTTGTGTCCTAGGTAGAATTAGATGGTAGACTGACAGTGTTTACTGGTGGGATCAGTTATGATGTATAAGAAAAAGAGAGGCATCTAGGATGACTCCAAGATTTTTGGCCTGTAATCTGGAGGATGGAGTTGAATTTCATTGATGAATATGTTATGGGTGAATAATCATGTTTTTGGTCTATGATAAGTCAAGTTCGAGTGGTCTGTTAGACTTTCAAGTGGAGAATGAATAGAAAGTTATACATACCCATCCAGTGTTTAATGTATCTGGGATCCTGGGGAATGAGTGGCATTTAAAAAGGTATATATACTGATGAAGGGCTTTCATATTGGAACAGTTGAAGACCGGTTCACTAGACCTGGAGCCTGGGTGATAATTTAAGCTACTTTAAAGGTCTAGGTAAGAGTTGACTGTGTTCTGATCTAGGGTGTTGGCAAAAGAAGTGGAAAGAAAAAGACACTGAATAAGAGGACTTGATAACTAATTGAAAGTAGGGAGAAGGGAGAGGCAAAGGTGAAAAATGGCTCTTAGGTTTCACATGTGGATGATTGGAAGCAGGTTACACCATTAACAGCCACAGGCAGAAAAGCAGGTTTGGGGACAAGATTGAGTTTGGCTACATCAACAATAACCATTTGCTTAGTGAGTTATAGTTTACAAAACCCTTCTTAGATATTATTTCAATTGGTCCTTTTACAACTGAGGTGCCTAGGGGATATCCATGCAGATATTTATTCAACAAGTAATTGGAATTGAGTCAAGGTAGGGCCTGGCCAGGGGCTGTGGATTGGGAATCATTTGCATAGAGGCCCATTGAATTCCTGAGCTAGCTAAGGGCAAGTGTGTCATAAAAGAAACGTGGTGATAGCAAACTCTTGAGAGGGTGAAGTTTAAAGGTCCAAGAAGGAAATGTAAAGTTACTTAAATAACTTACTTAAATAAAAGTGGAGTCTGTTACAATGAAATAAAATCCACAGTGCATTATGAAAGTTCTATAGGAAAGCACATTTTGGTTACCCCACTTTGAAAAGCTCTCTTTCATTCGTGCCTGCTCTCTAGTATTCATATTGGACTACCCCATGCCTACTACTCTAATCTCCAGTGCAACTGACCATCCCTTCCGGGTGCCTCTTGTCTAACGCTGCACTCTGCTCATTGGTTCTACTCTAGATTGAGCTCTCTGAGAGCTAATCCTTAGTACATACTCATGACAGGATCACACATTAGGTGACATGCACTCTGCCTTAATAAAACAGAGGGCTGTGGAGGTCATTCCATTATAACTGGCTGTTAGAAACTACCCATGGTGCTTTGAGAATATGTCTAGTGTGGTGGTGGCTGGATTTTAGAGAATCCTTGAGAAGTAGTAACACGTTTATTCATGGTAATGAACTTGAGGAGAAACTCTCAGGTAGTCATTAAATTATTTAATAAGTGCCCAGAAAAGACAGCCAGACCTTAAAAGATGATCTTTGGGGAAGATAGAAACCTACAGATGATTCTAGTAAATATTTCTTTCTGAAGTAAGCCTTTCATGCATGGACCACTCCAAATATGAACATTGAAGTATTTCTTTCAGACTCATAGAGGGCTCATTTAGCCATTTTGTGAAAGAATTCACACTTGAGTGCTAGGCTCTTGTTTCTGCGTTTTGGAAAAACACCATTTATCTCTGTAGTGCTATTTCTGTGATAATATCACAAAAACGTCTAGGTAGTACAGCAGAAATTTAGATGGAATTTCCAAACAAAACCCCGGCTTTCCAGTTTAACCCTAAATCCGGTCATGTGACCCTTGGTTACCGTGGATATTTTTGTCGTAGGAGTAAGTCCATGAGTGATGTCAGCGCGGAGGATGTTCAGAACTTGCGTCAGCTGCGTTATGAGGAGATGCAGAAAATAAAATCACAATTAAAAGAACAGGATCAGAAGTGGCAAGATGTGAGTACTTTCTTACTGGGAGAAGGGAAGGCTGGGGGAGAGTCTTCTTGTTGGACTCCTCCTTGCATCTTTTACAAGAAGATCAGTATACTTGAGATGATTTTCCTTCCTACAGAATGCAGTTCTACAGAAAATGCGATCAGCTTCCTTTGAAAAGGCTTGTATTCCTTTCTGGCCTATCACTGTTGCCTATTTTAAAGGCCACTGTGTAAAATATAGTAGGATATTTATTTTTTCATATTTTCTGAGTTCTCAAAAATGTGAATCTGCTTCCTTACAGTGCGGTTAATCTGTTCCTGTGCTGTGGTCAGTTGAATTTGGGGGTATGACTGTTATGCTTATGAAGGGAAAAGACTTAATTCAAAGTTTAGAGGAGGAGGGGTTCCAGAACAGTCTGGGCATTAGCAGGGAGAGATGAAGGGGGTTTTTAGAGTTAATACAGATTTGGGGAGAAATAAATATAACTAGGTGTAATATTTTGGCTGGAAAAGTAATTGATATGAATCAAAATGAGATGTTTTCATAGGGCTGATTTATATCCAGATGTTTATATGGACACAGACTTAATATTTAGCTTTGTCCCTGCAGGGAAAAAGCTTGACCTTTTTTGAAAGGGGTAATTGTTACAAACCAAAGGAGTGTCTAGAAACACAATAGATAATATATACAGAGCAAACCCGAAGGAGTTTGAGGATAACTTTATGGGAAGAGTAGAGTGTTAGGATGAACAAAAGGGCCAAGGATGGTAAATCTTCATTTTCAGAGAGATTAAAGTCTATGAAATGAAGAATCTCCTGCCTTGGCTGCATTTCTCAATTTCGGTGTCTCTTTTAGTTGGGAACTTGAGTTAATGATCAAGAAACAGTAATTCAGTGTCACTTTGCCCAGATACATGGGGACAGTTTTGGTGTGAAAATAAATATTGAGGCGTTATCTGTTAATGCAGTTGAAAATACATGCTGATTATCCTGTAGGACTAAACACACACTGCTTTTGTTCCTTTTGGAACAAAAAAGAAGTGGTTCTTACTGGCTTCAGGCTGTTCTTAAGCAGGAATGGCTCTGTCAACTCTTAAGGGTATGAAACAGGACTAGTTTAGTCTGAGATCCTGGATGTGCCTCTCTTTGTATTGGAATCCCACTAGAGGTTCTTAGCATGGCATTTCTCCATTTTGGAGACCTAGAAAAGTCTGCACCATCCAAAATGTCTTAAACCCTTGAGTGTCACAACCAGCTTAGGCTGCTAGGGCTCATTTAAAAGCAAAATCAGGTTGCTTGTCCTGGAGTCACCCAGCTAGGTTAGACTGTTCCTGGGAATATGGGAAACAGCTCCACTTTTCATATGGGATCTTCCTTATTGCCCTGTTAGGTGGAGTATACCTGCTTTAAAATCTTATCCTCAAGCCTGACCTCCCCAGGAAATCCTTTTTCAAACTCTGCCCTCCCCTGCCAGAGGTAGAGTTGTCCACTGTCTCTCCTTCAGACCCCCACCATCCTGTGCTGTCCCATTACATTGTTGGGATGCTGTCCCATCATTGTTGAACCTTTATTTACAAGTCCCTTTCTTTTCCAGACCAAGAGTTCCTTGAGGGAACCCACATTGTACGCGTCTGCGTGTTTGTGGTCCTCTGCCTCAAAGTAGGGATCCAGTGCGGCGTATGTTAAATGAAAGATAGAGTGTGCGTTTACGCTTCACCATTACAATCCTATGTCTGTTCCACCTGTACTAGTGAAATATGACATTTCACACAGCAGCCAGGTTATTGGAGTAAGGTAAAAATGAAGTTGAAACACTTCCTGATCTTTCTGGCCAGACACCCAATCACAGGCATTTAGCATGCATTGTGAAATGGGCAGGGAGGCAGGAGAACAGTAATGGGGTCTATCTTATTAGGTCAGGTTTTTTCGACAGACACATGAGATAAAGGTTGGTACAGAAACGCCAGCTATAAAAAGCAGAATTAGGCCACCTTGGCATCAAGTTGGAGTGAACGGTTTCAGCGATGTAATGGGACACCCTGGCGCACTCTCACTGCTGGAGAGGGTGTGTGGAAATTCAGGTGTGCCTGCGTTGATGTGATTTTCTTCTGCTAGGACCTTGCAAAATGGAAAGATCGTCGAAAAAGCTACACTTCAGATCTGCAGAAGAAAAAGGAAGAGAGGGAAGAAATCGAAAAGCAGGCACTCGAGAAGTCTGAGAGAAGCTCTAAGGTGTTTAAGGAAATGCTACAGGACAGGTAATAAAGCTGAAGACATCTCATGGTGGGAATTCCTAGTGTTAGAAATCCATATTTTATGTAAGGGTAGGATACCAGTATTAAACCATAAGCAAACAGGATTTGCTGTGCAATGAGAAAGCGAAGTATTGCTGTAATAAATAGTGACTTGGATTAACAAAAAAAATGGGTGCTTGATATAGGAGTGCATTCTTGATTTTTACGTTGTATATTCAAGTGCAGTATTGGGTGGTGTTGGCCATCTTTGGTGCAGAAAATAAACTACCTTTTCTCCTTTTAAGATGAATTTAGGAATGGAATGGCCACGTAAAACCAGCTCCCACTCATTTAAATTGTGTAAAATATCAAGTTCCTTTTCATGTTTTAGTGGTGCGATTAAAATTCTGTTTTAAAGGAAGATGATATAAACACAAACGTAAGGGGTTTATTTTTGGCATTCCGACATAACAGGATAAAGGTCCAATGTAAACTTTCCTGTAGAGCAGTTACTATGAGAAACGTTGGAATATGTATAGGTCGGGGGAAGGCAAATATGCTTTAAGGATAATGTCAAAGAGGAAATGTGCTGTCAGGTGAAGTTAAACAAAGCTGCTTTGTGCCTTAGAAGCAAATGGTAAGCACAGTTTCATTCACTTAGGAGGTATTTCCTGGTGAAAGGTAGCAGTGAGGTTGGATGTGTCATGGGCTTCTCTATAAATATGAGTGGTATCTTTAATTTGTAATAATTGTCCATGCAAGTCCTATCAAGCTGTATGAAATCATCTACTAACTTGATCTTAACTGAAGTCTAAGTCTTCTGTGGTCTTTTGTTTTTACTAAATTATTTAAAATCATATACAGGAAAAAAAGCTCATAGCCCTATAAAGGAATCCACAGCTTTGGAAGGTTCAAACTGGTTGTTGGACAATCAGTTATAGTATGCTAATTTGGGAAGATCGATAAACTTGTAGGTAAAACTTTGTGAATGTTCCCTTATTCAAGTATCCTCATTTTCTCATTAACATCTCTTTACAATTAAAAAATCCCACCGAGGTATTTGAGAGCCAGTTTAAGAAAAAAAAAAAAAAAAAGAATCTAGTTCCTACAGTCTTTTAGTGTGGCACTAAAAAAAAAAAATTACCTGTACTTATACTCCTATTCTGTTAATACCATTTTGGTTATTGTGTGACGTCAGTAGCCTTTTTATTCTTAGTCCGTTATATGTTACTGCCCGAGTGACCTCTGTCTCTCCACCTCGGTGTGTCACATGCGTAACTTGGTGTTGTGGTGTGCTTCTTCTTGCTAAGGGAATCCCGAAATCAAACGTCCATAGTTACCTTGAGGAGGAGGTTGCATTCTTCTGATGACATATTGTATGAAGAGATGCTTTCCCCTACACTGACCATGTCAGAAGCAAGTTACCAGAGTGAGAGAGTAGAAGAGAAGGGAACAGCATATTCTACAGAAATTCCTAAACAAGATTCCACGACTTTTGCAAAAAGAGAAGATGCTGCGGCCGCTGGCGTTCACCTTCCTTCTAAAAGCCCCATCAAAGAACAACTCCCAGACTCTTTGTCCTCTCAGCCTTCACTGACGACACAAAGAGAGTCGACTCGAGTTTCAGCCTCTCTCCCCAGAAGTTACCAGAAAACTGATACAGCCAGGTTAACATCTGTGGTCACACCGAGACCTTTTGGCTCTCAGGCAAGGGGAATCTCATCACTCCCGAGATCCTACACGGTAAAAAATATGTTCCCAGGTTATTTAGTCTGTTCTCAAGAGCAAAATGTTGGGGAACTTGTGTAGAAGTTTGATTTACCTCTACTTGATATAGAAAATATGCATAACTTATGTATAGGGCCATTTTGTGTCAGCTGATCTAGATTCAGTAGATGTTTAATGCTTAAAGTAGAACAAGTCTGTGGAACTGGTTAAATTTGACATTTAATGAAAGTAAGGCCTGATGTATTTTAAAGAACGAATAAGCTGCTTTCTAAGGCAGAACATGTTTCAGTGTTATGTTTTCTCAAATAAAGCTTTTGTAAGGTATTAGGCTAAACCATATGAAGATGCTAGTAGTTCTTTTTGACCTACAAAACAGCAATTTCACGTGGTTTAACCTAAATATTTTCAGGTGCCTTAGGTACAACTTTCTATTTTTCTCTGATTACCTGCTTTATTAGAACTTGATATGCTTGAAAGTGGTTATTAAAATGTATCTCATGGTTCTATTTATATTGGGATTTTTAAGAATAGAGAAATTGGAAACATTTGCCCTGAGAATGAAGCAGTATTATGTAGTTGACGGTGAGGGCATTGCAGGAGAGTGTTAAGGTCAATGTTCAGATTTATTTTTACTCCTGCCAGTAGAGTATCCTAAAATCTAAGAAAAAACTTGAAAGAATATTCAAGATAAGGAAAATCTCCCTAAACTAGCCAGAGAAGTCCTATTCATTATAGTAAATAAAATAGAGATATATTTGGCAGCATAAAAAAAATCAAATATATATGGCTCATTAGTTAAACAGTCAAAAGACAACTTACAGACTCAGAAAAATATAGTAAAATAAATTCTGGATGTAAGTTTAATATCACTAGGATTTCACATGTTCCTACAGATTGATAGGAAAAAAGATAACGAGTAGAATAATCGATATAGAAATGAGTAGCCGGGGCACCTGGGTGGCTCAGTCAGTTAAGCGTCTGCCTTCAGCTCAGGTCATGGTCCCAGGGTCCTGGGATTGAGCCCCACATCAGGCTCCTTGCTCAGCAGGGAGCCTGCTTCTCCCTTTCCCTCTGTCTGCCTGTCTGCCACTCCCCCTGCTTGTACTCTGTCTCTTACTCTCTCTCTGTGTCAAATACATAAATAAAATCTTAAAAAAAATTTTAAAAAAATGAGTAGCCAATTTAAGGAAGAGAGAGTTCAAAAGTTTGATAACATAGCACACACTGAAACATGTTCAGCCTCATGAGAGCAAGAATGAGGTGTATAGCTTTTTACACATCAGATTGACAAACACTCAAAATACTGAAAATGTCTAGTGTTGGCAAGGATGCAGAGAAATAACCATATTTCTACATTCCTTTGGGAGTGCATTGCTACAGTTTTTTTTCGAGAAGATAAATATATATAAAATTTATATATTACTTTTTAAAATAGTACATGTATTACATCTGAAATATCCTTTGGTCCAGCGAGTTTACGTTTGGGAATCTATAAAAATAAATATTGCAATTATAAAAGTATGTGGGTATTTGTAGTGTTTTTGGTGGTTACAGAACACTTGAAACAATGCTGAATGCGTATCAAATGAATAAATTGTAGACATCCATACCATGGAGCATTCAGCAATTAAAAGGCTAGTCTAGAGATCTGTCTATTGACCTATCAGGGTGATTTAAATGAGCAAAGCAAGTTTCAGCAGTATGTTCATAATATCATCCCTTTGTAGAAAACGAATCCCCTTCTCACTACGTATGTGCCTATCTGTGAGCAGGAACTAATGTGCTCCGAGCTTTTAGTCATAGATGCTGTGGGAGATATGTTACTTTCAGAGTTTTAAAGTATACATGTTTTTTAAACAGAAATCTAATGATACCAACCTTGAAATGGTGTTTTCCTTTTTAGATGGATGACTCTTGGAAGTATAACGGAAATGTAGAAGATGCTAAGAGAACTCAGAACAGCCTGGTCAGCACCTCTGTACAGAGACCTGACCTAAGCCAGCTCGTTTCCAGCAAGTCCAGCGAGAGAGAGAGAGCCGAGGTGGGAGAAGGTGTGACGGGGCCGCCGTCCCCTACACCCTCCTTCTCATCCCTTTCCCAGGACCAGGCTGACACTTCCAGAGCCACACTGTCTTCCACATCTGGCCCCGATTTAACGTCTGAGTTTGGAGAAGGGGGAAGCTCACCACAAATGGAGGACTCAAGATCGCAGGTGAGTTTGGGAAGGCTGCCTGTCCCCCAGGCTCAGAAACTTCAGTATTGAAACCTGGAAATGGTGCTTCTAACCTCTGGGCATTATTATCTGGGTTGATGGTGTCCAAAATGATGTGGCCGTTGGTTTTTAGCATATCTTAGAAGAAGTAGGCCTCTTCCACCTCTCCGTTTGTAGGTCCAGATAACCCTTGTGTTGTGTGTGTTTTGAGGCTTTTTGGACCAATCTCTTCAGGGTTTGGCTGTTTTTTTTTTCCTCTCTATTCCTCAGTTCAGCAACTGTTGTCTTATAGCCCTCGTGGTCAGTGGTCCCTGGTTCAGGTGTTGGGATCACCTGGGAGGTTACAGATTCAGGTCTAACAGGCAAGTGAGGTTAACTGACCACAAGGGGAAAAGGGTACACATGCTAGGTGCTGGCCTCTAGGGACGTGGCCTTTCTTTCCTATCATATTAACCTTCTCATGACTTGTATTTGTTTATTTGAGAGAGAGAGAGCTTGAGCCTGTGAGCAAGCACGTGGGGGGGAGGGGCAAAGGGGAGGGGAGAGAGAGAATCTTTCAAGTAAACTACCACCCCCCACCCCCGCCCCGACCCAAGCAGGGAGTCCTGTACAGGATTGGATCCCATGACCTGTGAGATCATGACCTGAGCTGAAACCAAGAAGTTAAATGCTTAACCGACTGAGCCACCCAGGCACCACAACCTTTCCGTGACTTTTAATACTGATTTACAAAGTCTACAATTTTGTGGCTTTTCTTGTATCTTAATGGGAATATTGAGGCCTTGTTACAGTGTGACAGTTATATTCCTTAATGTTTGGAGTCTAAACAAAATGTACTATCAGAAGAAGAATGATGGGGACGGGGTGGAGGCGTTTGTAGTTTTTCCTACTTAAAATCACCATAGATCACTTTTAGGAGAATTGCTAGGTAATGAATGTAGTATGTTTTATATGTAAGCTAAAAGTCATTGCTTGTCTAGAGAACGGAAAGCTTTTCTTAAAAAAAAAAAAACAAAAAACAAAGCCCCCCCGCAAAACCCCCAAACACCTTTGTTAAGCAGTTTGGTAGCTGTATGAACCCCGTAGCATGGAGGAGCTCCTTTGGTTCTCTGGCTTAGTCAGGCATTCTCTGCTGCCTTATCACCAAGGTGTGTGTGTCTTCCAAGGCATAGTACCAAATATATAACTTGGCCTAAATTATATTCATGAAAGAACTATGTCACTAAGTTGATGTGGCATATTTGCTACAGAAAAGCATTACAAGCTTAAGAATTTATTTCTGATTGTGAAGTACTTCGTGCTTGAGAAAATTTGGGAATGCAGGAAAGGGTGCATGACAGAAAGGATGGGTAATCCCATCTTTTAGAGATGACCTTTGTTAACATGGAGGTATATTTCTTCGTTGTTCCCATGCATATTTACAAGCACGTATCCAAAAGTGATCTCTTCAGCTTGCTAGAATCATTAGGCGTAAATTTTTTTGCTTCGTTTTTAAAGAATTGGAAATCTGTAATTAGCACCCTGAATTTCAGTGGATGAGAACGGTAGCCTATGGTATACTTGGAGAGCATAAGCGACCAGTGGGTGAGTAATAAAAGCAGAAGCGAGGTGTCTTTTGTTTTTATGGACTTGTGTGTTTGCCTTCACGTTTTCAAATAGCAAACCCAACAAAACAGCCTTACAGCCTGTTGTGCATTCGGTGGTAGGACGCCCTCAGGCTGGCGCTGACACCCGCATCCGCGGATTAAGAAAAAGAGCCAAGTGTGGTGCTGGGTGTGTTCCAGGTTGCTGGAGTTCGCGAGAACCTGCATTAACGTGGCGTGGTTTCAGGTTTCATCATTAATGGATTTATGCTCCTTTGTCTCCAAACCTGGCATGGCATCCTACCAAGCAAAATTAGGCTTTGCCGAGTCCAGCGGTTGGAATTCTTGCACATACGTACAGCTCACACGGTGACTTGCCCAACTCTTTGTGGCTTGGCTTGTCCCCTCCTCCCCTGTGGACAGCGCTGCTGCTCAGGTAGCATCACCTGCTCTTATCACTGAGAAGGAGATAACTGCCTCGGGAACAGGGCTGCGAGTGTACAGACAGCCCGTCACAAATAAGTCAAGCGTGTTTGTAACGCTCTTCCAAGTGTGGCCACACTCTATCATTTATGTGTTCAGAGAATAGAAGAATAAAAAGTAATATGTGGGCAAACATCTAGATGTTTGGGAGCTTGGTAAGTGTTCTTTGGGTCTTTCTTCTACTTCTTACCTCATCCTTTTGCCAGTAATATCCTTTCATTTCCTCCTCCAAAATCTCCCACGGCAGTCTTCTTTTCTGTCCCTGCTTCCACCAGCCTCATTCTCAGGGTCCTTGCCCAGCAGTGAGAACACTTTATAAATTGTCACCTGTCTGTGCGATCCCTGCAAGCCCGTGTTAGGTTGATTTGCATGAAGTCAGGCTGCACTTGGTCATTTCTGGGCTCCATGGCCTCTGGTGGCACTCTGTGGTCTGTTCAGTGAGGTTTACAGCCCTCAGGGGAGCACTCTGGCCCCTCCGCACTGGTCCCGAGGTCCCTTTGGAGCGCTGTAACCACTGCCTACTGAGCTTCGGCCATGGGCCAACCAGGTTTCTCAGGCTGTTTCTTAGTCCTCAGGAACCCTTGTGTCCCTGTTTTGCTGTTGTGGAAATTGAAACACAAGCAGTCATGTCACTTGTCCAAGACCATACAGGGTCCTGAGTGGTGGTCAGGATTTGTAACCAGGCACTCTGACTCAAGGTCGCCTGTACCACACTATGTCATGGAAAAAAGAATTCAAAGTAGGTGATCGAGCCACATGGCACTGCTTGCTTTTTCTTAAACATCTCATCCACGTTCTTAACACATCACAGAGACTTGTTCTTATGTTCCTAGATTCGAAAATGCTCATTTCACCCATGTTTGTCTTGTGAAGTTGTCCTGCTCTCTCAAAGCCCAGGAGGGTCACTTTCTTCGTGAATCAAGACCTCTTCTTCTCCTAGTTGGAATTGAACTTTTCACCCTTGGCTAAAGTTTCATTTGCTGGATTCCTTGTTCCAAATGTTCATTCTCCTTCACTGGTATTCTTTGTACCCTCCATAGCCTTTACACATAGTTGGTGCTTTTGTTCACTGACTTGAATTGTATTCAAGGCCTTGATCACCAAACTGCAGTATGAACTTTTCTGGCAGGTAATTTAGGTCCTCATAGGCTCATTAATGTGGGAGTGTTATGATTAAGGCGTATTTTATGACTTAAGTGCTTTGCTGTTATGTAGAATTATTTTAAGGAAACAAAGTCTGAGGGGGCAGAAACTGGTTAGGAGCCTCTTACAGAATTGTGGTCATAAGGTGGTTCGTGCCATTAAGAAGGGAAGGCTTAATGAAGGAAGGAACTTAATACAACCTCATTTAAAATCTGCCCACAGAAATTTCTTTCCCATCTCCATTGCCCAGGTGGGGTTTCAGTCCTTCCCATTCCCTTTTCTCCCCTACTTCTCTTGTGATACTGCTTCTTTTCCTCCCTCTTTTTCTGATCCAGGCTGCCAGGGCACTCGTGAAGGTGACCCCAAGGCAAGGGAAGAGTGTGACCCCTGAGCTCTTCATCCTCCTCTATCTGCCTCACAGATGTGGCTTTGATGATTAGTCCCCTGATTGGTCTCATCGACAGGGTTTTGTTTCCTTTTCTGTCTTGTCAGAGCCCTCTTCTCTCAAACTTCATCCAAATCCCCATTGCAGAACCTCTGCCCCAGATTTTTTTTTAAAAGTGCTCCCCAGAAGCTAGATGAGAGAAATGTAAGGAAGGAAGCTTTTTACATGTCAACTTCTCAATCGCCAAGCCTGCCCTGGTCTGGTGCCCCTTTTGAGTAGCACCCAGGGCTAACTGTGTCACAGCACCCCCTGCAACTTGTCTAGATTCCCCTCTCTGGGAGGACAGGAAGCAAGCCTGTCCCCATCACTGTTAGCACAGTACCTGGATCTGAGCGTGTGTCTTGAATGCTGTGTTCTCAGGGCTGCAGATTTAGGTACGTGAGTATTAAATAGGACTTTCTTGAGTTGACCTGGAAACTGCTTAACCAGCGTATATGTCATGTGTAGCATTGTTTCCACGTGGAACAGAAAGTAATTAAGCGGTGGCCGGGGCGTACCTTGGCACTTCTTAAGTGTTTCACTTAATCCTCCCAGTAACCTTTCACAGTAGGTAGTATTATCCCCACATTTTCAAATGAAATACTTGAGATTTGAAAGTTACATAACTTGCCCTGGGCTGGTTAAGTGCTTAGGCCACAACTGTAATTTCTCTGACCTTATTTTTTTGGAAATGTGACAAATTCCAATTTGAGAACTGCCTTATGTGTAGTTAAGTCTCCAAATGTTGACTTAATTTTGCTGTATCTCTAGAATCTTAGAGCCAACAGGGACCAAAATATCCTCTGTTTCATGAAGATAAAATCATTCTTAAGATTGTTTTTGAGGAAAGCTACATAGTTTTTGAAACTTACCAGCACCGAATCAGAAATGTGGAATTTCTGAAATGCAGAGTTGGAAATCTACCCAATAGGTAGTAAGGAGCTACCAGCAATGTTAAAACAGGGTACAGTAATGATAATTGGCATGTTCTGTGACTATACTTCTGGCAGCTGTGTAGAAGATGGAGGGAAAGAAGGGCAGGGGCAGGAGCACCAATTGGGAGGTGGCCACAATAGTTTGGGCCATGGTCTCCCCTCTAAACTAACATGGTAACCTGAAGACCAGTGAAAGGTTGGGATAACTCAGAATAGATTTATGGTTGGAGGACTCAAGAGCACTTTATTAAATACATGGGTGCAGCAGGCATGGGGTAGGAAAAGAAGGAAGAGGCAGCCCCGGTGTTGCTAAATTGGGCATCTGGTCAGGTAATGATGTAACTATCTAATACTTGAGAAACAAGAGGTGGAAAAGAGTAGGTTGGGGAGGAAGATCCTAAATTTAATTTTTGATACATTGGGCTGAGCCAGTAACTGAAGATACAATAGGGAAGGTTATTCAGGAAAGCTTGTAGTCAAAAAGATGGGAGACTGGCTCAGGAACTACAAAAAAAAAAAAAAAAAAAAGAGAGAATAGGAGAAGCACATTCATGAACCTGAGAGGTGGCCAGACAGATGGAGAAAAAGACAAGAGAAAATAGGATAATGGGTGATGTAGATGACGGTTTCTGAAAGTAATAATAGTTGGGGTAGTGCCTGGTGGGAGGAGGACTGAAGATGGATTTGTTAGGAAAGAGATCAACTTGGAATGGGCTAAGTGATGAGACTGGAAATACGACCTCCCTCTAGGAATGGAGAAGTGGAGGAAGTAGGTTCAGACATGGATTTTGTGAAGGAGAGTGGCTCCAGGGCCAGAACAGCACCATGATTTGGGGGTCATTCCCTTCTGTTCATGTCCCACTTGCATCCTGAAGAAATGATGCAAAAGAATCATGTGTACAAAAATCGAAGTTGATCTAGTTCCTGTTATTTATGACTGTAGAGCCCAATTCTGTGTTTAATGTTTTGTTTAATTTTATCAACTTCAGTAGGCTTCCCTTAAGTCAACAACATTTATCTAAATGGAAAAGTTTGGAGAAAATAGCTTTCTGACCTCTTAGTGTGTAAGACTGACTCTGTTTTTCATCAATTCTCATCTTTGGTGATAGGAAAGTCTTAAGTCATCAGATGTTCTAAAATTAAATCTTGTCATTGCTATTCTAAATAGATCATCTCATTTTTGTCTAAAAGGCTCATCTTTTGGTGTATACTTCTGCATAAATTGGATCTAATTTGAGGGAAATTATTTTTAAATGTTGATATGTTGATAACCATACGTTATCTTTTCTGGCATAGGCAACTGGAACCGCTTTATCAGTCATCAAGAATCTGGCTTTCCCCCAAGAACTTAAATTCCTGGTTCTATCCAGTTTAAGCAGAAATTCCTCCATCATTGTCTTCTGAGGCATGGATCTTTTGTAGAATACTCACATGGCATGTATCTTGGAGAGATAAATTAGGAAGTAGAAATCCTAACTGAAATCATTGTTGAACAGTTTGTGCTTGACTATAATTATAGATATGTTCCCTTGCAGAGTCTATGGGCTGATCTAATTCAAGGACCTAGGATTCCAGAGAGATGCCTGAGGGCCTGCCACCATGGGCAGGCCACGCCATTGAAATTATAGCTATTCACTCTAATCCCTTTTATGTATTGGTTTGGGAGGAAGGTGGTCTACATAAAACTTTCATTTGAAGACAGGGTTTTGCAAAACAGAAAGCTTGCAAAGTCATTATGAGAGAGAAGACCCTGGCAGACTCTGCAACATGCCTGAGGTCCCCTAGTTATTGATAGAAATGGACCTATAATTGCTCCTATAATTTCTCCTTGGCCTGTCTACAGTTCTAAAGACCCCCATACCTACAGTCTGCCAGACTGTAGCCACACTGAGGCTGTGGCTGTACATCACAGTGTAACCCCCTGTTAACTGTTTCAGAGAGTTATCTGGTTATCTGTGCTTTTTTTTTTTTTAAAGATTTTATTTATTTATTTGACAGACAGAGATCACAAGTAGGCAGAGAGGCAGGCAGAGAGGAGAAGCAGACTCCCCACTGAGCAGGGAGCCTGATGCGGGGCTCGATCCCAGGACCCTGAGATCATGACCTGAGCCGAAGGCAGATGCTTAACCCACTGAGCCACACAGGCGCCCCGGTTATCTCTTCTTTTATTTGGTATGGTCAAGTGGAGGTTCATTTGCAAGGCAAGAATATCCTTTTGTGGGGCACCTGGGTGGCTCAGTGGGTTAAAGCCCCTGCCTTTGGCTCAGGTCATGGTCCTGGGGTCCTGGGATCAAGCCCCTCATCAGGCTCTCTGCTCAGTGGGGAGCCTGCTTCCTCCTCTCTCTCTACCTGCCTCTCTGCCTACTTGAGATCTCTGTCAAATAAATAAATAAAAAATCTTAAAAAAAAAAAAAGAATATCCTTTTGTGAGACAATTCTTTTAGTCTAATAAAATTGTGAGACTCTTTCATCTATAGCTTAAGCTCATTCTCTTTTATCCTATATTTGGTAGAAAAGGATAATGTTTACTTGCTGTTTCCCACAAAGTATTCTTTATGTAGTTTGAGACTATTTATTAAGACTCCATCCTGTCTTTTATTCTTCAAGTTAAAAAACATAAATTAGTATCTTGCGTATCTAACCCATCATTTGTCCTCTGTCCTCACATAGCAGTAGATTCTGTGCTTTACTTGGCTTTTTTTTTTTTTTTTTTTTTGTGGAGGGTAAGTGTAGCGAAGATGACCACTTATTTTCATTGAGTCATGTCTAATTTAAGTGTGTGGTAGTTTCGGTTAAGGAGAGGAATTAACCACTAATTTTTTCTATTCATAGCAGAGTTTTAGTCTTAAGATTGGTGTTCATCAGGCTGATTATTAACGTGTTTTCGCTACCTACATCAGGGTTTCTGTATTAAACTGCTTTACAAGCTTTCCGATTAAAACTTTTCTATATTATTAGCTACAGATTTTTCCTAAAATAGTTCCATACTCAACTCTGGAAGAGTCAGTGATTATTTTTTGAGAACAAAGACCATGCCTAATCCGTCTTTATTTCCCAAGTATTAAGCCCTGTTGTCTTATACAAAATAGATGCACAGTAAGTGTATGTTGACCAGATGAATACGCGCATATTGTTTTAGTACTTCTGTGTCCACAGAATATAGTAAGTTCTTGGTTCGGTGCCTTCCTTGTCTTGTTTCTAATTCTTTTTTTTTTTTTTTTTAAGATTTTATTTATTTATTTGACAGACAGAGATCACAAGTAGGCAGAAAGGCAGGCAGAGAGAGAGAGAGTAGGAAGCAGGCTCCCTGCTGAGCAGAGAGCCCAATGCGGGGCTCGATCCCGAGCTGAAGGCAGAGGCTTTAACTCACTGAGCCACCCAGGCGCCCCCCCCTTGTTTCTAATTCTTATGTAATATCAGTTTTTCGTAGAATAGAGTCACTTGGATTTTAAACTTGTTTTAGAGGTGGAAAAACTTCAGCATAAAGCTTTATGAATTGCCCAGTTAGCCCTAGGTTCAGTTTTAATGGCCACACTGACCTGGAGAATTTATAGGTCTTTTTTTTTTTCTGGAAAATAAAATGGCTTTAGGAAGAACTTCTGCTTTCAAAACAGTAAGTCTCAGTTCTTAATTATTCTAAATCAAAGACTGAAACTAGGCTGGGAATTTCGAGTTAAAATTCATGTCTGTTTGTTTACCCAAAACAAAACACATACATTATGAAAGGCAATTGAAATTTTCACAGACGTCGTGTATTTTACAACTTAAAACATTTGTTTTGGAAAATGGCTGCCCTTCTGTGAAACTGAGCATTTGTTGCTGTGTGGTGTAGTGACGGAGGTGGAAACAGAGGTCTGTCTGTTGTCCAAGGGACTGTTGTTTCTTGGGCTTGTTGGCTGATGTCACTTGGAGGAAGTTGTGACTTGTTGCTTAGGATGTCTCAGTTGGGGCCCTCCTGGCATCTGACCTACCCTGGTTCCCCAGAGATGACGTAGCTCTCATTGTATAGCTCGTGTGGTGGCTCTGTCCTCACCCCTTGATCTTCCTAAGGCAACAGGGCAAACAGTGCTTTGCCAAAACTTCAGGTGCCCAATAAGGGGTGGTCCCTGTCTTAGCTGAGCTCTACGCGTAGCTGAGTCGTGTGTCAATGAACCCATTGACATCGTTCAGCTAAATATGTTAAATGTCGGAGTTGCCTTTTTAATAAGTATGGTGGCATTTAGAAAAGCATTTAAATATTTTTTTTGCATTTCCAAAAATGCTATCATGTTGAAATAAATGATATATGACATTGTGTAAATTTAAGGTGTACCATATGTTAATTTGACACATTTTTATATTGTAATAGGATTGCCATTGTAGTGATAATTAGCACCTTGATCACCTTACCTAATCATCCTTTCTCTTTAGTGGTAGGAATAATTAAGTTATAGTCTGTTAGCAAGTTGGATTAGAATACCGTGCTGTGTATATTCACTGTACCGTGCTTTAGATCTCTAGGGCTTATTTATTAATAGCAAGTTTGTACCACTAAACAGTATGCACAACATGCCTTCTCACTCCTTTCCTGGGTAATAACAAATGGTCTATAAATTAAACCCAATTGTAGACAGGGCAAAAGCCCAAGCTTTATTCATGCCCAGCTGATGAAAAATATTAATGTGAAGAAAAACATCTATTGATGTGAAGGTTTCCCTTGTTTTAGCAGAAAAGTAATAAACTCATTGATATCTGTATAAATGAAGGTTTTACCAAACCCAGGTTAAAAAGATTGCTGCTTCTGGTTTATCATGAAATAACTCAAGTGTACCTTGCATATAGCCTCCGTTCTTTCATGGATAGACTTTCCTCCACGTGGGTGCCAGGGACACATGATCCACCGTTTCGTGTTTGTTTTCAGGATCAGTTCAGTGATATGAGAATCAGCATAAACCAGATGCCCCGGAGCGGTCTTGACTTTGGGTTTACAGTAAAATGGGCATTGTCTGGGATCTTCGTTGCATCAGTCGAAGCAGGTAATTCATAGATTTAGTTCTACTCAACTTTCTTCCCCTTGTTATCCTTTGCTGTTCAAAAAACCCTCCAGAAATTAGTTTATGTGATACAGGAGGAGACAGCACATGCGAAAAAGGCAGTAGTAAAGTGAGGAGATGTAGCCTCTTCCCAGAGACTAATAGCATTTCTTCTGCTTGCCTCATTAATTTTAGTTTTGTAGAATCTTATCTTTTGACCTTTACAGAATTCATTTGTCAAAATTTTAGACTTAATATTTGGAAATGCTTCCAATCAACAATTGACTGGAAATTCCAAAAGAACTGTCCATGATTGGCTATGTTTGGGGTGGCTATGTATGTGCTGTGTAATAAATTGTTGTTTTCTGAGCATCTTAATGTATCTTGCTCGTGGAGCCCTCAGGATGCTTTGGGACTTGTACAAAAGCAGCCCCTCCCCCATCCAGGGTTCTACCAAGTCCCTCCCAGGAACTCTGAGCAAAATATTACCACAGAGCCTAAAATTAAGCTACTGTAGTTAAGAGGAGCTCCTCATTTACATATTTTAGCTATATAAAATTGCATGCTAACTCTGGTTATTTTTTTTGAAAATTCAAAAAGACTGTTTAATTAGATAACAGGAAGTGGTAATTGTAAGTGGTTTTAAATGGCCTTGCTTTTTTTTTTTTTATCTATTCCAGAGTGCATTTGGATTTGGAAGCTCAATTAAAGTACAATATATTTCACATTTTGAATTTAAAAATAATTTAAAATTTTCTTTGTTCTTACGAAGGTAATAAAGAAATTTTATGGAACAGATGAGCTTATTCTTTTATATGTTAATGAAGATACGTGCTCTTGCATAAAAAATGCATTTGGTGCTTTGTATGTTGTAGATACTCAAATATTTGGTAACTTAAAAAAAAATTCCTGACTCTGCTCTACCTGAAAAATCTAAGAATAGTTAGTTGAGATTAAGAAGTCATTTTTTTCTCTAAGTAAGCAATGACTAACTGAATGTAGATTTTTTTGTTTGGAATTTTTTGTTATTGGTTGTTTAATTTATTTTGCTTTCTATAGGTAGCCCAGCAGAATTTTCCCAGCTACAGGTAGATGATGAAATTATTGCTATTAACAACACCAAGTTTTCATATAAGGATACAAAAGAGTGGGAGGCAACCATGGCTAGTGCTAAAGAAACTGGAAAGCTAGTAATGGATATCAGGCGCCATGGAAAGTCTGGTGAGTTGGGTTTTACCACTGTCTGTCTTTCTCAATGGGGAACTGGTCTTTGGCAAGTGGTTATAACAGCTGGCTTCAATAACTTTTTTCTCATTTTTTTTATTTACTTTTTATTTTTTTGGCTTCAAGATGTTCTGTGGTTATGCCCAAACAAATCTGGAACAATCCCTCCTTGACTATTCTGTCTGCAAACTTTTCTCTAGCAAATTTACTGGACTCTACATAATTGATTGATTGATTGATTGATATGCTATACTGACTCTGAATGCAGATAGTAACTGAAAGCTATTGTAATTGCATCTGCATTTGGGAGTCTCATAACAATTCTGAGGATTAAGAATCACACTATGACTTTACTTTCTCGACAGCACCGTAACTAACTGGTGTTAGAGAGAACAGGGTAGGTCATATTCCTGCTGTTCATGCTCAAGGAACTGTCAGTATAATTCTATTACTGTGTTTCTTCATTGTTGAGGTTCGATGGGGAAGGGCATTAAACTCCCTGCCACCTCCTTATGATCTCAAAATGCGATATTCAGTTTTGGTTTACAGAAAGAGTCAGTAAACTTGCTAGTCTTTTCCTTATTAATGTGATCTAACCCTTGTGTTTTCAGAAGGTGATCTGTTGGCCAAAACCCCTGCACTCTTTACTTCTTTCACACACTACCTGATTTGTTTGTGTGTCTTCTGTATGTGTATTTTGTGTATGTGCATTCACTAACTTTGTTCTTTCCACGTCACCATTTACGTGTACTCATTTCTTGATCATCATATGCCAATCAGACTGGGGCAAAGACCAACCTTCCCTGCCATTTACACGGCATAAAACTCTCAATCTCACCAGTATGGCTACCAAAATTATAGGTTCACCCGAAACAAAGTGGATTGATACAACTTCTGGAATTTACAACTCAGACAAATCTTCAAGTCTGTCAATAACAACTGATTTCTCAGAAAGCCTCCAGCATTCTGTAAGTATTTTGAGAAGTAGGAGTATTTGTGTAGAGCAAAGTGTCTGTAGGAAGTGTGTGTGTGTGGGGGAAAGAATTTGAACAATTTTGATGCTACTTCAAAAACATGTAGTTGAATAAGGTAATTTATAGTAATGAGAGTAAAATGTGATTTTGATAATCCTAAGGCAGCCCTCATAGATAAGTAATAGTTATATCATTGTAAAATCAAAGGATCCCGTAGTAGTGTTCTATAGGTATTTCCTACCAATCTTCAACATTATACCCATTTCTCAGATCTTTGTGGATGTGAAGTGGTAATGTAATATACTGTAATTTTACATGTAATGTAAAATTATGTACTGTAACTTTTCTATGCTTTCTTTAGTCTTTGTGGGTAAATTACACACAATTACTATACTTATTTTAAAACATGAAACATTTTTAGATCTTGTGCAGATGACTTTGATGGGTAGACTTCAATATGTGGTTAAGAGATACTTAACTACATTAACTGATTAAAAATAATTACAATGTAGAAATTTTCCAAGTATCAAAGCAATAGTTAAATTTCAAATATTTGTCTTGACTCCCTAGATATAGTTGTTATTATCCTAAGATATTCTTTTATCTAATAAGGAGATCCTGCTACATTGTGTAGGGAAAGCTTAAATGCTGAAGAATTCTCTATGCTTGTGTTGCTTACTCATAAATATAAGCTAAGTGAACTAATTATTTGGCACATAGTGTTTCTTGGAAAAATAACGACTGATTGAACTTAATGTAAAAAGCTGTAAGAAATACACTAATAGCCTGTAAAACTCATCTTATTAAAATATTTTCACTAATGGGAAATACATTATTCGAACCCAAAGTCCGACTGGACAGAATGTTGTTAACTGGCCTTTTATCCTTCCAGAGTACTGAATCCAAGGAAATGAATGGAATTCGTGATGAAACTACTACTTTTGAATCAAAAGGTAAATATCACCATTTTAACTATGTTTATAATATAGAAGTCACAGCATTCAAGTTCTTCTATTATAAAAATTAATAAGTGAGTCCAAGAAAAACCGATCCCACTGCAAGCTGAAACTAAAAGGTTAGCACAGAGATCCTGTTGCAGCCAGGTGGAAGGGCGTTCAGTTCCAGGGTTTGAATAGTTCAGAAACTGCAAACAAAGCTTTGGCAGCCTGTCCAGGAGCTCTGAGGGCCTGTGTGTCTAAGTCAAATAAGAAAGACTTGTTTTCCTGAGGCCGTTAGCCTTCTTGCTGTGGTATGTTGGCAAAGGGAATCTTAGTTAAATCTGAAACAATGAATGAGGTTTCCTTTCCCCCTTTATTGTGAAACGGACAAGTTTGCAGGCAGCTAATATCAAGTAGAGGAATGGTAATAATCATTGTTAGGCAAAGGACCCATTTGTAATGAAGAAGCAGGTGTGGTATCTGGGGAGATGTTGTATCATGGAGTTATCACTCTCTTCCTCCTTCTGTCTGTCCACAAATCATTGTTGCCTCATACTATCTACTACTCCTTAGGCATACAAAATAAATAAGAAAGATCTGGTCCACAAAGTCAGGGAAAGAGACTCAAAGAAGACCAGACTCCTCCTACCAGGAAACTAGACTCCCATCCGGCTGGGTCAGTTTTATGGCTTTGCATCTGTCTTTACCAGTTCATAATATGTTAGGTCACAGCCAAACCAAGTTTCTAAATTCCCATTTATTGATGATTTATTTTGGTATTTAATTTCTGATAGGTAGAAGTGACTGCGTCTTAACAGATAGTGCATTCTTTATCAAAAGAGTTTTTAAAGCAAACATGATTTATTTTGGATTCCCCATGTTAAATCCAAGACACCCAGGTCCCATTCTGCCTGTGACTCAGGCAAAGCAAACTGCTAAGACACCAGACTCGTCATTAGTGACTATGTATACACGCTAGACATTGGAGGGTTTGCTTTACACAAGTAAGCACCAACCAGTATCAAGTAATAATTGCATTTACAACTTATGAATAAACTGAAGTATATGAATCGTTTGTCATAACCTTGCAACAGATCTTGTAGATCTGTAGATCTGTAGAAGTCAGAATGTTTCTTTTATTTTCTTTTTTTCTTAATTGGACTGAGCTCCATTTGCTTAAAGTTAGTGGCTATAAGATGTTAAACTAAGGCAAAATTCTTCAGATAGAAGAATATTTTAATTTGGACATTTGTTCTTATTTTATCTTTCCCTGGGTATTAATTTATATTCTTGTCTAACTCCCCACTATTTCTCAGTTCATTTTTTACTTAGTAACGCAGAAACTCTTAGTTACAAACAATTCTCCTTGGACTTCTAGATTTTGGGTTGATAAACCTAAGCAAAACATTTTAGTTTCCATTTCCCTAAAGCTGTGTGATCTAGCACGGAAGATTTTTTTGGCTTCTATGAAACTATGATGCTATTTGCTAGAATTTATTAATAAAATAATTAGTTCCATTACTAATTTAGATGTAGTATAGACTACTAAAAATATGTGTCTTTGTACATTGAAATAATCCATATCTTCTATGGCTATCAGTTTTGTCATTTTTCAACTAATGCTGTGGACTAGAAAGGTGTGTCAGATACCATTTAGTTTTCCAGTGGTGAGAGATTAAAATGAATGACATGGTATTGATTTTTTTTTTTTTTTTGTATTTTTCAACTAGCATCTGAACCTATTTCTTTGAAAAACTTAAAAAGGCGATCACAATTTTTTGAACAAGGTAAACTACCAAGATAACAATTCATGTACTTTCATGGAATTGTTCCCATTCTCCACTCTGTCCTTATAGTCTTTGGTGCTGGGCACTAAGCCTTTTCAATATGGCTGCCATTGTGACCAAGCAACGTAACCCATTTCCATTCTTTTCCTAGGGTCATCATGCTTTTCTTACAGTTCATGGGTCTACCTCTGTGGTAATGGGTCTTTGCGTGTCTTTTGTATACCTCTGGACTTTTTTTTTTCTAATTAAAAAAAGATTGAGATGCTGTTAAACACGCTTCTTTCCACTGGGTGACAGTAAGAAATGAGGAACCTCACTTACGCCTTACTGCTTCCTACAAATTGCGTAATATTAGATTACACCAACACCTGATGGTTGAACTTCTGAAAACTCTAACTCCGGCCAAAATGCTCTTTAAAAAGAGCAGAGTTGTTTCTTGCTATTGGAATGATGGCTTTGCAGTGTTCATAGGACCTCCCTGTTGACCCTGAAGTAAATTAAATGTAAATTTCGGTTGCGCTTCTGAACACGTGCATTTTGAGCCTCCCCGTGTTGGTGTAGTTGGGCTGCGCTGCCTTCTGTGCTGTGCTGCCTTCTGTGCTGTGCATGTGGCATTCCTTCCCCCTCTCACGGCTGTCGATGCCCTGTCTCATGAATGCAGTCTGAGCTGTGCTGTGCTGTCAGAACTTAAAAGTAATATCCAACATTTGAGATGCAATGGCACAGAGAGGAGTGTGCTGTAGGCGTCTAAATGTTATTGTTTCTTACTTTTAAGATGATCAAAAACCTTTACACGCTTGCCTTCTATTTACTGGACTCATAGATTAAAAAACAAAACAAAACAAAACAAAAACCCGAGAAGTATTTCTTTGGGGAATTAAGGTTTCTTTTTGACCATAAATAGGAGTAGCTCACCAGCTGTGCATGTACGAGGTCTATTTGTGTCAGTATCCATAGTGTTTTTGATATTTTTGTTAAATTCCTATTTTTCTACGGTAATTTAGTTGAAACACTATGATACTCCTAGCTCAAACTGGCTAACAGAAGATAATTCCTTTCTTTCTCTAGTCTAATTTTCACTCACTTCTCTTCAACAGGCTATTTTAGGGAAAAATATTTTCCTAAGTCTCAAAGCAGTTTTCTTTAAAAAAAAAAATGTATAAGTGAACAATTTATTTGACAGCTGAGGTTTCAGGAAAATTAAAAATACTGTATGAGAGCATCTTTCGTGAAATTTGCTTAGTTGGTTTTTGATTTTGTTGTTTTTTTGTTTGTTTGTTTTGTTTCTGCTTTTGTTTTTTGTACTACATACACACATTCCTGTAGTACCCCCTGAGAATAAAGAGAAGAATATTAGGCCCATAGGTGTACACACGAATTTTGAATATTTGTGCTGCAAGTAATAGGAGAGGAAGGGGAAGGATTTCCTGAACATGTTTTTGTGGTATCTTATTTAAGAAAAGTAGCTTATTAGCAAGGAGACCTGGAAAATCTGATACGGAGCTGGCACGTTAGCTTTAAGTAGTGGCAAGTAAAAACTTGGATTTGGCAGGTAATATACCATTTGAAAATCTTTTTTCTCTCCCTGTTGGGCTCAGCTGTGACATACTACCTGGTGTATTCATAAAAGAACCCTGAAACCTCTTCAGAAGACACCAGCCATCTAGCTCGAGTACCAAGGGCTAAGGGATATCTTTGGCACCCATACTTTCTCTCTCTTTGTTTTAAATGACTTTGACTTTGGAAGATGAGTAACAAACAGATGGAATTGAAGAGAAAAACTGAGATTCTACTGCAGTTTAAGAAAAAAAAAAAAATCACTGATCTCACTTAGTATCCTGGCATAGAAACAGCTAATATGACTCTGTAAAAAATTATTTCATAGAAATGAAAAGACTTATGTATTTTTTTCTTCCTTTCCAACATGCTGCAACACAGGAAGCTCGGATTCTGTAGTTCCTGATGTAAGTAGCATTCATTGGTTTTTAGAACAAGTAAGGTGACTTTGGCAGGACTGAATTAGCACATACTAGCCTCGCTGCTTTTCGGTTGCATAACAATTTATCAAGGGGTAGTCTTTCCAGGTTGAAAAGACCCACTTTGAAACAGAAAGCCAAACCTCCTCTGGTACCGCTTAGGCAAAGGGTGGGATGAATCATTCATGAAAGCGGAAGTGCTTCAGTAGATGACTGAATGAAGTAATATGTTCTTCCTTTGTTTGCACGTTTTCTCTTATAACTGGCTAGCTTCCGGTTCCGACCCTCAGTGCCCCGAGCCGCTGGGCGTGGGATCAGGAGGAGGAGCGGAAGCGGCAGGAGAGGTGGCAGAAGGAGCAGGACCGCCTGCTGCAGGTAGAGCAGAGTGGTGTGGGCCCACAGGAGTTCCGCTGGCTTTCCCTGCTCGGTGTCAACCGGGACCAGGAAGCAAACTAAAAAATCAGAAGCTAATAACCTCATAATTAACAAATCTTTTGCAAGGCGGCACATTTTGCATTCGTTACATTTCTATTTTGAAGCTTTCCGAGTCCTCCTTTTAAAATAATTATTTACCCGGTGTATTTTTTAGAATGTGGCACTATGGTTTTTTGGACTTTCTTATGTGTGACAGGTGTGTGGATCGTAAGGCCTTGCACCCCCTAAGCTGTGTGTGTGCTCACTCCACTGCAGGGAAATTCAGTCCCCCTAGCAGTTAGCCAGGGGCTTCACTCAATTAGAACTGTGGTAAAGAGTGGCTACAGGTTCAATTCTGAGTGTCTCCCCTTTCCCGAGACCACCATTTAATTCGATATAAGCTATTTCGTACTTTAGGGATGAAAGTCCAATTGGTGAAAATAATATCACCATCTTTAAAGATTGAGGTGAAGGGTAGAGCTAGCAAAAAAGCTGGTGAAAAAGATTCCGTGTAACATCATTAATCTGTTAATTAACTAATTAACTAATATGCCATCTCTCCTTATAGGAAAAATATCAACGTGAGCAGGAGAAACTCAGGGAAGAGTGGCAAAGGGCTAAGCAGGAAGCTGAGAGAGAGAATTACAAGTACTTGAATGAGGTAGTGTTGGAACGTGCTGTGTTCTCTGTCTCAGTGAAATTATCTGGGGAATGGAAGATCCTCTGTTTCACCTGCTTTTGCCACATATTTACTTACATAAGCTCTTTGAAAAACACAACGAGCTCTGATTTGTCAGAATTTTGCTCTGATGTTTCAGCCTTTCTCTTAGTTTCTCTACTGTATCATCAAATGGTTCTATTAACGAACCCTAAGTGCATCTTTCTCCTTCGCACTTGTATTTCCCCCACGTGTGGCTTTGGTAGCGATTAAAGGAAACCCCGGCCAACACTCAAACAGAACATGGGTAAATGAAATTGTGACGATGCACAGATTCGGACGGGCTTCTCTTTCCCCCTGGTCACACAGGAGCGGATGGTCCTGAGCTCAAACAGCATTTCTCTGCCCACGCGGGAGCCCACCGCGGCCGCCTGGGAAGCCTCCTGGGGTGAGGGGTCCAAGTCGTCCGATCAGGAAGGAAGCCGAGCAGGGGAAGAGGAGACGAGAGAGCCGCCCAAGGACGACGCAGAGGAGGACCAAAGGAAGAAGCTGCAGGAGCACCTGGCTCTTGAGGAAGAGACGAAACTGAGGGAGCAACAGTGTCAGCAAGAGCAGGAGCAGAAGCGGCGGCAGGAGGCGGCCCAGGAGCAGACCCGCCCGGCAGAGAGAGAGAGGGAGACTTCAGTCAAGATATACCAGTACAGAAGGTTTGTGTTGCCGCCGGAGCACACTGCGATGTGTTCACGTTGGCTCCGCTTCCCGGTTGGTCTCTACCATCCATTTGCTACACAAGCGTTACATGGTAGAGCAGGTCCTGTCCCCTTACAGCTGTTCAGACGGCTTCCTGTCACGTTAGAGTACCGCCCGGGTCCTCGCGGTGACCTTGGAGGCGCACATGAGCTGGATCTGGACCCCGTGGTCTACTTGACTTCCCACCGCTCTTCCCCTCCCTCCATCTGTTCCAGCCACACCGGTCTCCTTTTTCCTGCTTGAAAATGTCCAATGCATTCTGCCCCTGAACGCTGGCAGTTTTTAGTCCCTGTCCTTGCAGAGGCCTTCCCTCACCTCTTTCCTCGTCTTCTCATCTTCTTTGAGTCTCTGTTCATACATCACTTTCTCAGACTTTCCAGGATACCTCGTCTAAAACATGTGCCCTTTCCCCACACCGTCTCCCACATGCCTTACCATGTTTTATGTTCCATATTTGTCTGGAACCCTGAAATGTAAGAATGACATTTAATACTCTTTTTGTTCTGTTTGCTTCTGTAGCCCAGCCCTAGAACAGCGGCAGGCACTCCCTCTACAGGATGAGTGAATTGCAAATGTCTGTTGGTATCAGTGGGTCTTCTTTCTGCAGTGATTGATCAAAATGCTTTTATATATTTAGTTTTCAACCCAGAGACCATCTCATAAAGAGACTAGAATAACCTTGTTCTGATGTCAATTTCTCTAACTCAGGAAGAGTGTTAAAGTCCAATATGTTGACCATAAACTCTTCTTTCTTTCTTTTAGACCTGTTGATTCCTATGACATACCAAAGAGAGAGGAAAAATCTTCAGGGTTGCTTCCTAGTGACAGGTATGTGGGACATTTTGTTGTAATTTCATTGGAATAATAGATGAACATTTGAGGGCTCACCTCAATGTATTTTAGAACTATTTCAGCTCTTGATCTTTTGTGGGATATAAAGAGATCTTGCTGGTTGACCTTTGTATGGACTAGCTTTTGCTGTGTAACCCGCTACCCCTCAACTTAGTGATTTCACATGATTTTGTGGGTAAGTATTTTGGGCTGATCCTAACTGGCAGTTCTTCTAGTTGATCGGGCGCCTCACACATCTCCTACTAGTTTACTAGGCAGCTCTGCTTTGGGAGTTGGCTGTAAGCTGGAACAGTGAGAACAATTAGGCCATGTGCTTCCAAGATCCAGCAAGCCAGTGCAGTCTCATGTACATGGGGGCTGAGCAGAGAAGACAGAACTAAAGAGAGGAAGCAAGGTGCCTTGCAGTCTACATTCTGAACTGGCCCACCATGCTTCTGTCACATTCTGTTACCTAGAGTAAAATCACAGGCCAGCCCAAGTTCACCGAACAGAGAAAAATTTTACCTCTTTACGGGAGGAGCCACAGTGCAAGGGGAATGGACAGAGGGTAGAATTGTGTTCATTTTGTGCAACTGCCTTAATTTTTATTTTAAAGAGGTTGTAAGCAACGGCATCAGCTTGCCCCAAATGAAGTTACATGTGGACATCTGAAATGAGAATGTGGCCTTCTCTTAGTCTGTTGAGAAGTACTGGTCAATTCCAGTACATGTTAGCTATATCTTAAAATTTCCTGAGACATAAATTTAATGTTTCAAAATAATTTTTAAAATACTTTGCTGTTTTGAAATCACTAAGGACTTCTGAACAGACTCTGTCTATAAATACCCAGTGTATGACCATTAATTTGTGTTTTCAGAGCTGACATTTCTTCCCTAGGAAGTTTACCTTAGAGATATGGAAAGACTCGTCTCTATGGGCAATCAGGCTGACTGAGTGGGACTCCTAGTAGGGAAAATTAATATATAGATAGTAATGGGCTGACATTAAGCTAAAAAAAATTTTAGTGATGGATGCTCTTATTTATATTGAAGATTTCTGGGTAACTGTGGATCATTAAAACTGTGTATCTGCCTTGTTAAAAATATGCATTTATATATATATTTAAATAGTCTTTGTTTATGTTAGCTTATAACCTGGAGAAAATAATTACACTGCAGTGGAAAATGTAACAAATCCTGGAAAATATAGAATGCTGCTAGGCAGTTGTGGTAGAATAGGCCTTCGAGGTGTTAAGGGGTATGGCTGGACATTTTGTAATAAAAATCATTTTCTGTGTTAATACAAGTGAAACCATTCATGAAAGTTGCCACCAATTGTGATTACTTTATTATGGATTATACTTTATTATATGTTGTATGTATATACATATGTGTTGTATGCATGTAGGTGTGCAATGTATAGATATGATAATGTACATTATTCATTATCACCACTATTGTTTGAAGTTATGGTGCTTAGTAGAGTGAGGATGAGACCTGCCTAGACTGATTCAGAAACTTCAATGTTGTCATTACAAAACCCGGCATCTCTAGAGGTTGCCCATGCCTCTTGGCATAGCCAAGGTAGCATTTGGTCAGTGGCTGTTTGGGAAGAAGTGTCCAAAAAGTTGAGTTCTCGGCCTTTGGGCACCATGAAGGAAGAGATAGTATGATATTAGGTGATCTGATGACAGATCCTTGGTACAGCCTATGTGATTGAGATCTGGAAGGGAATCAAAGTGTACAAATTGGTTAAAAATCATAGACTTAATCATCCTACAAACGGGAGAGGGTCTTCATATGTTCTTCCCATGCTCTTCTCTTATTTAGAGACATCTACCTTGTACAACATGAAAAATTACTTATTAAGAAGGTAAATGTAGCTTTCCACAGATATAGGAAATAAATCAACTGCTTTTTAAAGTAATATCTTTGGTGTTCTTACATCATACATGTAAAAAATATGTTCTTGGGGCACCCGGGTGGCTCAGTCATTAAGCGACTGCCTTCGGCTCAGGTCATGATCCCAGGATCCTGGGATGGAGCCCTGCATCAGGCTCCCTGCTTGGTGGGAAGCCTGCTTCTCCCTCTCCCACACTCCCTGCTTGTGTTCCCTCTCTCACTGTGTCTCTCTCACTCTCTCACTGTTGTCAAATAAATAAATACATAAAATCATAAAAAAAGATGTTTTTAAGGAGATGTCTATAATATGTTGTGTTTTGTGTTGTAGGAACAAATCCAGATCCACAACTGAGCTGGATGATTACCCTACAAATAAAAATGGTAAATGTGAATTTTTTTCCAAATTCTTCAGCATAGTTGTTTGCTTATGCTATCGCAGGTTATGATCAGTATTTTTAAAGTCAATATAGTTCAGATTCATTAAGATTATGTAATTAGAATACCAGGTCTTTTTAACATTTGTGTATAAAAACAAAGCTATCTTATGCTTATTTTGGCTTTACTTTATAATGGAGGGAGTACTGGGAGAGTAAAATGGTTTTAAATAGCTAATGAAACATTTGGAAATTTTTCAGTGTTATTGGTAGTTTTGTATAGATCTTATCTTGCAGCCAAGGAAATGGGACAGAAAAGTTTTCTGCAGAATAACACGGGACTTAAAAATTGCTTATAAACTTGAAATTATACATTTAAGTGTCAAGATGTCCAAAAGTCCAAAATGATAATGATTTCGCTAAACATTTAAGTGTCAAGATGTCCAAAAGTCCAAAATGATAATGATTTCGCTAACCTGGCAAAAATGGTTTGGAACCTGATATTGTTAGTATAAAGTGTATTTTTAGGAATGCATGTAGCTGAAGTTATGTAACTAAGGAGGAAAAAACCACGAAGCAAAAAGCATCATTTTAAGCAGGGTTTGCATATGAGGTTTTGGGCAAAGCAGGGTGCTTGCTGGTCAGTTATATAAATGAATGAAGGTCCAGGTGAGGATTGGGGTGAATTGGGTAGACGTGACCACGGAGCAGAGAGCCACGTGGGAGAATGCAAGCTTGCTCCTGCCATATGGAGAATGCAAGTCCAGTGTTTCTGGGGTCAAAGAGAAGTTAAAAACAATGTGGATTTTCGTGTTATCTTTTAAGTGCTGACAAGGATAAATAAAATTTAAAGCCCTCTGTGAGCCAAACCACACATCTGCAGGCCTAAATGGTCAGGTGGCAGCTAGTGTGTAACCTCCAATTAAAGCTTGTAGAATTTAGTTTCTAGTAGGTTCTATGATCACTCCTCTTTAACTCTTAGGAGCTTCCATTATCTGGTCCTAGTTTAAATTTCCAGCTCTTCTGCTCTTTTTCCTTTTAGGGACCCTTAGGTAAAACCAGAACTTTCTCTTTTGCAGTTGGCAATTGAGATGCTTTCGGATCTGGTTGCTCTGGTCTCTCTTGTTTGCATTTCTGGGTTTCTTTTCCTGTGAATTTGCCTCTAGCCACCATTAAAAGCAAACTTTCAAGTTCTACAATCCTCTGTATGTGTTTTCTTCCCTCTACTAACCCTAAGCTCTTGAATAGAAGGCAGTGAACTTAAGAAATATGTTACTGAAAAACTTGGTTATGGCAATAAGTCACTTTTAAAGTAGAAAATATTTCATTTAAAATATGACCAAGTTGATAAGCTGTGGGCACCCACTCAGGTAAATATAGGTGAGCGTGAGAAAACGTTGGCCTTGTTCACTGCTTGCTGGAAGATGAACTAAGGCAGAGATGCACCGTGAATTTTAAAAAAACCAGCAATAGCGGTAAATCTGGAGAGTGAAAGGAAACAAATCCTTAGATGGAATTCTCTAATCCAGATCGAAGGGCGAAGAGACTTCAACATTATGGAAGTCTTACCCAAATCAGAAATTAATCGCAAATCCAATGAGACAAAGCCTTCAGGACAAAACCTAACTGGATTGTCATGCATGTATTCAACATCCGAATTATAGCTTCGTCAGTTTCTGAAAGGACAAACAAGCTTGATAATAGTCCTTGGTTAACATGTGGGTTACTTGGATATTTTTCAGTTTCACAAAAGCTATTTCAGTGATTGAGTGTGATCTCATTCCTACAATTTGGTCATTACTTATTCTAGAACTTACACCATGAAGACTCGAGTGAGTCGGCAGGAGATGCAGGCGTAGGTGTCTTGCTCTCCCCAAGGGGAGTGTCAGTTTTTGAACACATTGTCACAGCAAGTTTTCGATGAGTGTGTGTCTGATTGATTTAATTTCGGAAGGAAGGGACAAGTGGAAGAGAAACGATATCTAGCAAGCACTTTGTAACTTGATAGCGCTGAAGTCAGTGCTGGTTGTTTCCTTTTTGGGCAGCCTCCTTAAGTCTTCCGGAGCATGCTCTGTGGCGTGCCTCTGGGTGTGGTACTGGCATTTCCAGGAATAGCAGACTTTACTTTTATGTTCCCATGCAGCAGTCTCATTGAGAACTGAAGTTAGCATATGTGTACCATGTCACATCTTTTGCTACATTGTATTTGGAGATTTAACCACATCCCCCCCCCTTTAATAATGTGCTAATCCTACAGCTTCTGATGTGTTTTTAATTTAGGAGGCAATAAATATTTAGACCAAATTGGGAGCACTAGCTCATCACAGAGGAGTTCCAAGAAGGAACAAGTCCCATCGGAAGCAGAATTAGAGAGACAACAAATCCTTCAAGAAATGAGGAAGAGAACATCTCTTCTCAATGACAGCAGCTGGATCCGACAGCGCAGTTCCAGCGTAAATAAAGAGCCCATTTGTCTACCTGGGATTATGAGAAGGTGTGGGACGTTTTAGGACTTATATCCTCTTCTGTGCTCTGAAGCAGTTGTTTAATTTCTAGACACGCTGGTTACCCTGGACAGGAGAGGTGTCATAATTTCTTGTCTTATCTGAGGTTGAGCGGAGAGGGGAAAGTACAGTGAATGCCATCAGGCATATATTATCCAGTGCATATCAAGTGCCCCACGATATGCCTGTTACTTGTCTCCGTCATCTGACTTGCTCTGGGGACAATGTTTGGAGGCAGGGGTAGTGATGCTCTTTTTCCATATGGAGAAATGGTGGCTCCGGTCCAGAATGCACTTGGACAAAACCACATGGCCATAGGTTGCAGAGTGGAATGTGGAACTCTGACGTATGGTTCAAGCACTTGAATGTCCTTCCTTGAGAAATAAAATTAAGCCTCTTTTTATTTATAATGAGATAATGGTTTGATTGGAATCAAGATAATAGTGTTCATAAAGTACGAAACCCAATTTTTGAAACTCCAAGAAAAATATGTAGATATAAACTAATTAGAGATGAGAAGACTAATATTCTAAAAGATGTATCTTGGGTAAATGAATACTGAAACTACTTTTATTTAGTATTTTCAGAAGTGACAAACTGAGGAAAATCTATAACATGTGCAAAAGGGCTAGTGTACAAGTAACTTTTGTAAAGCAGTAAATAAAGTGTGATGATTTTATAGAAACATAGATAGGTGATATGAGCAGAAGCGTTTACAGAAAAAGAAACTAAGTCAGTAAACATTTAAAAGATCAGCACTTCTGGTGCGCCTGGGTGGCTCAGTGGGTTAAAGCCTCTGCCTTTGGCTCAGGTCATGATCCCAGGGTCCTGGGATTGAGCCCCGAATCAGGCTCTCTGCTCCATGGAGAGCCTGCTTCCTCCTCTCTCTGCCTACTTGTAATCTCTCTAAATAAAATCTTTAAAAAAAAAATCAGCACTTCTCCTAAAACAACAATCCCATGTCTCGTTACGAGATTTGTAGATTTAAATGATTGACTAGCTCAATCCAGTATTGACAGTGGTATAAGGAAACAGGAGTTCTTGTCCCCAGTTGAGTGGAAAGTTTTTCGTTATTTACTAAGCAAAAGTTTTTATGTCCATACCCTGTGAGCAGTTTAGTTCCTGACACTTTATATTCTGAATGGATTTGGATAAGTATGCAGAGATATGTCAAAGGATATGTGCTTCAATATTATTGGCAATAGCAAAAAAGAAAAGAAGCAGAGTATCTATTAATAAGAGTACTTAGCACTTGCTAAATAAAGAGCGGCACGTGGATCAACCCACTAAGTTTTGAGGTGGCAGACGATACGGCAATGCCTCTTTCTTTTATCGTTGTATTCGTATTCTGCCTTATCACAATTTGTATCAAAATTGACTGGCCAGCTCTTTGGATGATGTTGGTGGGTCCCTTGGACAGTTATAGTCCTTTTGAACTGGGGTTGACAAAATTTTTTTTGGTATGAAGGACCAGATAGTAAATAATTTTGGCTTTGTAGGCCACGTCAGTCTCTATCACATATTCTTTGTTGTTGTTGTTGTTTTTATGACCGTTTGAAAATTAAAAATGCCCTTAGCTCACGATTTGTACATCTCCTGACGGTGAGCCATAAATTGCTGAACCCCTGTTGCTGACACTGCCCTGAGAGCTCATCGGGGGCTGTTGGTCGGGAGCTTCTGCTTCCTCATGGCCTCTCCACACAGCTGCTTGGGCTGCCTCATGACATGGCACCTGGATCCAAAGAGGAAACCTTGTAGGCGAATAAGCCCTAATGGACAAGTGTTTATCAAACCTCCATCTGTATCATGTTTGCTAATGTCCCACTGGACTAATATGTCACATGGCCAAGAGAGAATCAGTGCGAGGGGACCACACAGTGGCAGGGATGCCAGGAGGACGATTCCCTGGGGGCCTCTGAAGTACCATCCATTGCATGAACTGACATGAAGATAGCTCTAGGATAACATCATACCTGGAAGAAAGAGAGTTATACAGAGTATGCATTGTAGAGTAGTCCCGTTTGTTTAAGAGTGTTAAACTCATGAACACATTACAGATGTATATAGACGTGGCTCTACTCATGTCAGTTGGTCTCTCTATGAAAATCTGTGTGTAAACAGAAAAAGTCCAGAAGTTAACCTGTGGTCACCTCCGGGAATTAGGGCAGGTAAATTGTGATAAGTGAGGGTGGAGGGAAATTTTATTCTTCCCTCAGATACCCTTCTATATTGTTTGGATCTTTCTCATCAAGATGAGGTAGTTAGTATTTCTGTAATTTTAAAAGAAAAAAAATACATATTTTGAACTTGGGATAAAAGATCAAGTTTTAAATGTAATAACAAAATTGACCTGTTAGAAATAAACCATTTATAATTTGGAATCAATCTCTGTAGATCAGAATTGATGTAAGCACGTGATTTAGAGAGATTTTCTGAAAGTTATATTTAAATCTGAAATTGTCCCCAATTAAATATAACTTTCTGAAAGTTATATTTAAATCAGTTTTTGAGCTAAACTCTATTTTATTTTTCAATGATTTTTGGGCATCTTTTTCATTTGTTTATTTGAGAGAGAGAGAGAGAGAGAGAGAGAGAGAGAAAGACAGCGAAAGAAAGCAGGGAGAGAGAATAGAAGGAGAGGGAGAGAGAATCCCAAGCAGACTCTGCACTGAGTGTGGAGCCCGATGCGGGGCTCGATCCCAGGACCCTGAGATCACAACCTAAGCAGAAACCCAGAGTCATCCACTTAACTGAGCCACCTAGGTGCCCCAGTTCTATTTTAAATGCATATTCAGTTCAAGGGGAGTGGTTGATGAATGCTTCTATGAGATGTACATTAGACAGTTGATTAAATTCAGGGTTTGGGGTGAGTGAGGACTGCACAGTAGGAATGGTCTGGATTATTCTGAAATCAGGGAGACACTAGTTTGAAAGCCAGTTCTACCACCAACTAGCTCTTTCTCGTATGGGCAAGTTAACTTCCATGAGATAGCCCCCCCCCCCAAAAAATACCTGCCTATAGTGAAGATTAAATGAGTCAAAAATTTTGTGGCCATGTTTAGTCTAATACCTGACATATGTAAGTGTCTAAAGTGGTGGGGTTTTTTTTTTTTTGGTTGGGTTTTAAAAATTAAGATTGATGTGTCTGATCTGTTGAAGATTTAAAGAAGGAATGTATGTCTTTATAGTAATTTATTTAAAAAAATTTTTTTAGTATTTTTTAGTATTTAGTATCTTTTTTAAGATTTTTTAAAAATTTTTAAAATATTTTTTATTTATTTAACAGACAGAGACAACAAGTAGGCTGAGAGGCAGGCAGAGAAAGAGGAGGAAGCAGGCTCCCAGCTGAGCAGAGAGCCTGATGTGGGGCTCGATCCCATGACCCTGAGACCATGACCTGAGCCGAAGGCAGAGGCTTAACCCACTGAGCCACCCAGGCGCCCCAGTATTTAGTATTTTTTATAGTATTTTTTTTTTAGTATTGTCTTTCCCAGTTTGGTGTTTTTTCTTTAAGCACCAAGTGAAAAAAATAAACATAAATTAAGATTAATTGAAACATCGTGATTCTGATGAAAAGAAACTTTAGTTATTGAAGGTAATTTTATATGTCACTGTTAGATTAATACCTACTTAACAAAACATAAAATGGATGTTTTAGGGACTATAATGATATATGGATTCTAGCTCAATGTATTATATAATCTTAATTAACTCTTTCCATGTTTCAGAGGTGAATCTCTAGATAACCTGGATTCCCCAAGATCCAATTCTTGGAAACCATCCCCTTGGCTCAATCAGTCTTCAGGAGTCCATGCTTCTTCCTCCATTCAAGACTTCAGTCGCCCCCCGCCTCAGCTGGTGTCCACCTCAAACCGGGCCTACATGCGCAATCCATCCTCCAGCATCCCCCCTCCTTCAGCGGGGTCTGTGAAGACCACTACTGCGCCTTCCCCCACACCACGCAGCCATTCTCCTTCAGCATTGCAGCCGAGCTCCCAGCTACGCAATAGGTGAGCACCTTAGTCTCAGGGAGATTTTTTTCATTAAAATTTCCCCCAAAGTCCTGTCCAGATTTTCTAGTGAAAACCAAAAACAAGCCTTTTGGAATCTATGAAATTCAGTGCTTCTTTACCAAAATCGATTAAAGCCTTCATAATGGTTTTCCATGCTACCCCAAGAGCATTTATAGGTGTCTCATGAAGCCATGGGAGACCTTTAAAACGTGTACCTTGTTGCCACTGTCTCGTTTGCTTTTGCTTGTGGTCAGTGCAGACATACTCGTATAATTCTCAGTGTGGAAGCTTAAAAATACACAGTAGCTTTGTGAATGCATTTGCAATTTATGAATAAAAGCAGCATTGTAAAATGTTTGATTTTTATTGAGGCTGTAGTATAAACTCGTTTTCTAGGAACTGAGTCGAAAAGGAAAGCATTATAATCAAGCTCCATTGTCTGTGGAACTTTTAACAAGCTGGGTAGAGAAATGTTAAGTAGTTAGATACTGCTCTTTTTGTTTGTTTGTTTGTTTGTTTGTTTGTTTTGTTTCTGATTTTCAAAACCGTTGCTGGCTTCTTATCTAGTTTGCGAACATTCTGCTCAGACTACGTCTGCTGAATTCTATAGGTTATATGCTGCAGGAACTGGGGAAGAGTTATAGCTCTAGGTCTTGACTCAACTTGTCTTTTGATGTGGAGTAAAGCCCAGATATCAACATGTGTTGGGGTTTGAGGTTTGGGTAGCTTCTCTACAGACCGTCAGTGCTTCATGAAGCCATATTCAGCAGTGTTTCTGCTCTCGTCCGAAGGGAGTGCTATTGGCTTATGGGATTTTGCAAGTGAAATACTGAAAAGTAAAAACACAGTGATAAGTACTGGAATTTTTTTTAGCTGTCAAGGGATTTTGTTAGGAAAACATATCCATCTAAAATAATGTTGCTTGTACCAGGATCTCTAAAATGTGTATCATGGGATTTGAACTAAGAAGGGGCGCAAATGTGTGGTAAATGTTGGGCAGAGATGAAGGCTCCCAAGTAGGAGGGAGGCCGAGGAGAGAGTATGCATTTGCTTACTGAGCTCCACCATAGGAGGACAGATGGGACACAGGCTGTTGGCTTTTCTGCCCTGGGAAGGTCTCTGTCTTGGAGGTTGCCCTATTATGTGAGGCACTTGGCAGTTCTGTACTTTCACTGTCACTAACCTGTGCCGGTACTGTGGGATGCAGTGGTACTAAGTGACCTTTACCTTCCCACCTGGGAAGACTTGCAGGAGAGACTTCCATCCAAAGGAGAGTAGACACCCTCCATACTTGTGTCCATGATAGCTGTCAGCCACTTGTCATCTTCTCCCAGAGGCAGTCCGGGAAGCCAGAGACACCCCCAGGAAAGCACTGTTCCTGCTGTGTCACTAGAAGAGCCTGTGAATGAGGAGGAGGATGGGAAAATAAGGTTAGGATGGTAGAAAAAGCATGTAGTGCCTTTTGGGTGGAGCTGGGGCTGCCCTCCTAGCGTCCTGACGGGTGTGACAGGAGTGTGGCCTGGCTTTGGCTGGCGAACTTGCTGGGTTAGAGGAGGGAAAGACTCATGCTGAATACAGATGTGATCTCAGGAGAATAACGTCAGGAGTTAGGGAATGGACTAATTACACTGAAATTGTTAATTTACACGAGTAGGTGTCAAGGGTTTCTCAACTATCACGGAGCTCTTTCGAGGTACAACATAGCATGCTTTGATTGGTTGGTGACAGTTTTCCTCCCACAGATCTATACTTTCCTAAATAATTATTAATTAATGTCAATGCCAGAGTGTGATTTTAAGTAACCTTGATTCGCGCCGATGAAAGCCTCCCTTCCATTCTCGTTCCGCGTCTAGGTCAGTCAGTGGGAAGCGCGTGTGCTCCTACTGTAATAACATTCTGGGCAAAGGAGCTGCCATGATGATCGAGTCCCTGGGTCTTTGTTATCATTTGCATTGTTTTAAGGTGAGACCAAGATGAACAGCCTGCAGGTCCGCAAAGCTTTGCTTGGAGAGCGCATGGCTTCTTGACGCGCTGGGCGTGAATGTCCCACTAACAAACTCGGTGCTACATTTTGTCAGTCTGTGCTGCACTTTGAATCGCAAATTGCCTGTTCTCAAATCTTGAACCTAGTCACAAAAATTAAATCCTGAAACACTATGCACTCCTGGTCTTCAGTCTGTTAAGATTCTGTGAGTAAAATTTACAGCTTATAAATCCTTTCTTTAACATGCTGTCATAGGCCTGCTTGAAATATAATTTACCAGCATTATTAACGGCATGGGGACATGCAATTGGGAGTGTCCGGAACCGTAGCTTTGATAGGGAGAGTATGTAATGAAGAGCATCATCAAACATTTTTGCGATTGCAAAGCCTGCTTACACCTTATGGGATTTGCACAAAAGAACTAAGCCTGTAATTACTTTGTCTTTAGAGACCCCTCCTCATGTGATTCTAGAACTTGCAGTGGGCTAGAAAGAGACCCTGGTCTTATCTCTCGAGTCCCGCAGAGCACAGCTTGTTTAAGCTCGCGTATCACTGCCTTGAGCAGCTCCTGGGCAGAACAGAACCAGTCCAAATAACCAGCGTTTGAGCATGTGCAACCAAAATACACAGCCTGGAAGTGCAGGTGCCGTATGCAAACATTCGCCAAGCGGGGGCCACAGGCCACCGGGCATTGCCCACCTCAGCGGACAGTGCCAGAACCCCACTCCTCATTCATTCTCTAGTTCTTCCCTGTGATGCCTTATCCTCTCACATTCTGCCGCAAGAAATGAAGACTCAATTCTTTCAAGCCAATCAGCAGATCAATTTTACTCTTTCGGCATATTTAGAATGATCATTTTGGCTCTTAAAATTAGACTTATGAATTCTTTAATGTCTCCTCTGGCAGGCTTGATTTTAATCTACTAATTATCTTTGGGGCTTTTCTTTTTTTTTTTTTTTTTTTTTTTTTTTTTTTTTCTTTGCTGAAACATATCTAAGAGCTTAGAAGCTGCATTCTGCTCAATTTCTCCCCCCTGCTGGGAGTGCTGCCGGAGTTTGCAAACTGACTGACTGTGGTGATTCTTTCTTGTCCATCAGTGTGTGGCCTGTTCGTGTGACCTCGGAGGCTCCTCTTCAGGAGCTGAAGTCCGAATCAGAAACCACCAGCTCTACTGCAACGACTGCTATCTCAGATTCAAATGTAAGAGAGCAAATCAGGGAGAAAATTTCTTGTCTTTTAAGGAGGCCACGGGTTCCTATGCATTTCCCTGAACCTGCAGCCGTGTCCCCCTCCGGCTCCCTGCCTTAGAATTCCAGGCTTTAGGAAGCTTCGTGTGTCGCACCCCCCCACCGCCCTTTCAAAGTGGGTATGGTGAGTGGGTCAAGGCTCCAGACTCCAGCCACTCTAGGGAGGCTTGAGGGGCCGAGGGGTTGGAGAGGGATGCCTGCCTGAGTCAGGACGGCCTCCTCTGCTATCTGCTGTGTGTGTGGAAAAACTTCTAATGATGTGAGGCTATTAATAAACTTAGACAGTTTAAAATGACCCTTCTGTGTAGACTGTACTCTGGTTCGTGGCTAGGAATCAGTCCTTCATTATCAGCAGATTTCTGTCACTTCACAGTGGGCTTTGCTTCTGTGATTTAGAACATGACCAACTTGAAACACCGTGGTCTGACAGAGGGAGTGGGGAACAGCTTGTGCTTTGCTACTCTATAAGCCTGTGTTAGTATGATTAATATTTTTAAAAGGAGAACACGAATTCTGATTATATGGTGTTTCGGTGTCACTTTTGGGAAAACGGAGTTTTTCAAAAACTTGACATGCTCATCTGTGTCTAAGCATGTGTTCGTTTGTGTGTTATAAAACCTAGGATAGCTCCAATGTATTGCATATCGTTTTAGCCACGTAGAGACAACCATTACTGCTGTTGATACTTTGAAACTTGATGGTGGTAACATGTGTTTCTTCCTTATTGTGAAAGGGTGTTACAAGTGGTACCAGCAAACCATTTGCTTTTGAACTCTGAGGTATTTATATGGCCCTTTATGTGAAGAGTGCTTTGAAAACGGTTTCAGCCCAGTCAACTCTCTTTTATCTGTCAGCGGGATGGGAACCTTCTCTCCCTGGCATCCAGTTCTTTTCTGGATGCGACCACTGAGGTTGGAGAGCGGCAAGGCTGGGCATCCAACGGCGGGAGTGTGTGTATGTGTGTGCGCTTTTCTCTTTTGAATCAAATTCCCAGGCCAAATAGAACTGATTTTTGGAATATTCAGGGGGAAATTGCCCATGCCTTTGCTCTCCTCCAGTACAAATAATAGAGAGTTGAGTGTAACTTGTTTCTCTGTCAGCAGTTTATTTTAACTTAATTTTTGCAAAGAAAGGATTTTAGAACCGAGGCTGTGATTTGTTTGCCTAGCTTTATCCCAAATGAGTACAAGGTCACTCTTTCTACCTCACGGGGCCATTCTCTGAGTGATGACTGCTATACCCAGGGTGGCGATATCCAACTATTTCTCTATCCTAAGTATTTTTCTTTTTTTCTCCTTGCCTGATCAGCTGGACGGCCAACCGCCATGTGATGTAAGCCTCCATACGAAAGCACTGTTGCAGATAGAAGAAGAGGTGTTTGCTGCTGATGTAGATCTATAAATATGTGTTGTATGTCTTTTTTGCTCTTTTTTTAAAAAAGGATAACACTTTTTTTTAAAATTTTTTGCCTCTTTAGATTACATCAGAGCATTATAGTCTTGGTAGCACCTGTATTTTTGTTGTTGTTTATTTATAAGAAGGTGATTCTGTGTGTTGGGGGGACGGAAAGTGCAGTATTTACTTTTTGAATTCAACATCTTAAAAGCACAAGGGAAAAATAAGAATGAAATATTTTTGATGCTGATGATGATCAGGTTTGACTTTCTAGTGGTGTTTTGAAGAGGGTTATTTTATTGTTTTTTTTTTTAAGTTCTGAAACATTATTTGAAATAGTTAATATAAATATATAATTGCATTTGCTCTGTTTATTTTAATGTATACTAAATTAATGCAGAACCGTATAGAAATTTCACTAAAATCTACCCATAAATTTGCTTTCTGTGTCCTTCTTTTCATCTATGTAATACTGTGCTTTTGAAAAAAAAATTTTTTTAGCATATGTGACATTTTATTTGCTTGGTGAGGGGATCTCTATTTTCTTCACCAGAATGATCACTAAGCAATGCCCAATAGAAAGCTGCTTCTTTTCATTAATACAGAATCATCATGGTTTGTATACCAGAAATTTTCTCCAGGAACTAGTAAGCCTTTCTGTTCCACTGCGTTTGTAAATAAACTTGCTGAACCATTAAGGACTGGTTCTCTTTTTTTCTTCTGTGTGTGTGTATGTGTTTGTCTACCTCCCAGACCTTTTAATCCCATTTCAGTATTAAACTTTTATTGATATTTTTTATTTAGCATCTTTACTGAGATAAAAAGTGACATATAACTAAATTCATATATTTAAACCATACAATATGACAAGTTGGAAATGTGTGATTACCTATGAAATTACCACCATAATCTTCATATTGTTTTTACTGGAAAACTTTCACTAAGAACTTTATTTTTGATGGAAGGTTGTTTCTGAATGCCATACCCTTCTATGGTAAGAGGAGAATGAATAGTGAATTGTTGGATCTTTTCGATAAATTTTTTATTCTTCTGCTTCCCCAGTGATAAAGGAAAATAGCAGTGAGTTTAGAAAATCTATAGAGGGGGGGAAAAAACCCAAATGTACTTTGTTTTAGAAATCTGGAATGGTGAGGCAAGAATATAAAACTTGAGCGTGTTTTGAGCAAAAGTATCAACTCGCATGAATCCTTTGTTACAGTCAGAGTAGGATGGGTAATTCTAGGGTATGAGAACTGTATTTGGAATCAGTTAGAAATAAGCTCTAATATGGGAAAATATTAAAAATTTAGTTTGCTTTTGTTTTGTAGTACTTATTACTTTAATAATCTGAAGTAAAGAATGTGCTTATTGGGGCATCTGGCTGGCTCAGAAGATAGGAACATATGACTCCTGATTAGGTTTATAGCTTTAAGCTTTAAGCCCCATGCTGGGTGTAGAGATTATTTAAAAAGAAAATCTTAAAAAAAAAAAAAAAGATTGTGCTTCTTGAAGAAAATTGATCAAATGCCCCAAAACATAAATATAACACCCAATTCCCAAACTCCAAAGACAAGAGCTCTATTTGAACTCATTCTGTATATATTTACCCTGCATTCTTGGCATTGGATTGTGAATTTTTCTGTGTTCTTAAAATTGTTTCTATTTGTTTATTAATGGTTGCATAGTGCTCCATTGTTTGGTGCTTTTAATGTTCAGTTGATAATTCTGGGTATATTTCATTTGTTTCTAATGAACATTTTAATATATATAATATGATTAGCTATATCCATATAAATATATTTCTAGTTGAAATCCTGTGATGGACTCATCATATTTCTTTATATTGTCATAGATATGAGCTCAGGTTAAAATATGCATTTTTAAAGCTGTCATGATACATATTGCTGAAGTGGCTTCCAGAAAGATGCCACCAGCTTAGATCCCACAAGCAGTACGTGGGCTTGTCCATTTCCGTGTGTGCTTGCCAAAATCAATTTCTTTTTCTTTTTTTTTCTAAAGATTTTATTTATTTATTTGACAGAGATCACAAGTAGGCAGAGAGGCAGGCAGAGAGAGAGGAAGAAGCAGACTCTCCACTGAGCTGAGAGCCCGATGCAGGGCTCGATCCCAGGACCCTGGGATCATGACCTGAGCTGAAGGCAGAGGCTTTTATCCACTGAGCCACCCAGGTGCCCCCCCAAAATCAATTTCTGTTGCCTCGTTTTCTCCCTGACATTCAGTAGCCCTCAATGTGTAGTAGCTGTGAAAATTAATAAATAAACCCCTGCTTCAATTTCAGTCCTGTTAATTCTGCTTGTTCAGGCCTCTAGTGCAAGCTTTAGTTCATACGTGGCGATTTTAGCTTTCTGATCCGACATCCTTTCTTTTCGTCCTTCTCATCTAAGTCTCTTGACTTTTAATCTGTTCTGTTGACTTTAGGCCTTTTTTTTTTTTCACGTTTCTCACATTACAAGATAATGTGATAACAGTTTTCTTAGTGCAAATTATTAGGACATTTTTCAGAGGTTTTCTTCTAAGACGCTGGTTCTACAGGACCTCTGTATACTCCATGAGTGTCACTTCATCTAAGAACAAGGAAAGATGCTGTCATCCAACATTTTTTATTCATACTTTATGTCCCAGGCAGTTTTCAGCACGGTAGACAGAGCAACACGTAAATTCAGTCTTGCTTTTAATGGCGCTTAGATTTCTAGTTGGGAGAGAGAAAGACAAAAAAAGGCGCAAAATGGTAATCTCCAATATGGATCATGAAGAACAGGTGGTGGTGTGAGGAGGACCTTCGCATGCTGGCCGTGGGAGTCTGGCCATGGTTTTTTATAAGCGTTGTCGGAGGCTGCCTGTTTGACCTCTGAGCCAAAGCCTGAGGGGATGAGGGAGCAAACCTTACAGATCGTTGAGGGAAAGCATTGCAGACATAGACACCCGCACGTGCAAATGTCTTAGGGTAGAATATTTGGTGTGTTCAAGAACCAACCATGGGGTTGGAATGGAATGAGAGAGGGGATGGGAGGAGATGTGGGGAGGGAGGGAGGGCCCAGGTCCGCAGACAATTCTGGGATTTTGGCTCCTATTTTGAATGAGATCGGGAGACATTGGAGGGTTGAGCAGAGGAGGGAAATGAATTACATTTTACAAGGACTACAGACCACTGTGTGAATAACAGATAGCAGAAGGGCAAAGGTAAAAGCAAGGAGACAAGTCAGGACTCTATTGAATTTGTGCAGGCAGAAGATGTTTTCTTCAGTATGGTAGGGGCAGGGGAGGTAAGGAGGAATGGGCAGATTGGATAGTGTGTTTATATGCCTTGAAGGTGAAGCTGACAAATTTGATGACGGATTAGAGGACTCGTGAGAGAAAGGGAAGAGTCAGAGTCTAAAGGGTTGTCTTGAGGAGCTGAACATTAGAATCTTCATTTTCTGAAATGGATAAGGTTGTGGGTAGGATGCATTTGGGGTGGGGGGGCAGAGAGGTCAGAAGTTTGGTCTTCAAACATGGTCAGGCCGAACAGTCTATAGATGAGTAATGACCGTGTCAAGGAGGCAGCTGGCTATGCGAGTCTGGAGTTCAGGGGGTCAGGCCAGAGAGACAAATATAGGGCCGCCAGTCGATAGAGAAAACTTCGCTGGGGATCGGGAGGACCTGCCCTGGGTTCTGACTAGAGAAGATGTCCAAGGACGCATTCCTGAGAAGCCTGGAATGGTGCAGTGCTGGATGCAGAAAGAAAGTAACATGAAAGTTTATTCTATTCAGGAATGTACTCATGGCTTTTTACCTAATGTTCATTTATATCACAGGGTGAACACCACCAAAAAAAAATACGATCTGTATTCCAAAAACCACACATGGACTAGTCAGCACTCCTGTTAGAATTGAGGGACCTGTCTCTTAGGATTTGGCAAGGCTGGGATTCTTCTTTAACATCCATCCCTGCAATCTGGAAGAGGAATTAAATGCATGTTAGTACAGGTCCCAGGTCATATCAGTAAAAATGGCCTTAAAAAACCCTAATTTGTCTTTAAAATCCATAAGTTTGGGACAGGAAAAAAACCAGCTTTGCGATTCTTGTCCTAAAACACATAGATGCTGGGAGTATATTTGAGGAATACAAAGCAATCCTTATTCTCCAGCGGAGAAGAGGAGCACATACTCTAGATATTCTAGTCCCGGGGGTGCCTGGATGGCTCAGTGGGTTAAAGCATCTGCCTTCAGCTCAGATCATGATCTCAGGGTCCTGGGATCGAGCCCCGCATTAAGCTCTCTGCTCAGTGGGAAGCCTGCTCTTCCCTGCTCCTCCCCCCACCCTGACTGCCCCTCTGCCTGCTTGTGATCTCTGTCTGTCAAATAAATAAATTAAATCTTAAAAAAAAAAAATTCTAGTACCTGGTGTGAGAGGCCAGGGCACTACAGTGTGTGAGAATCCATAAGGCCTTTACGCTAAGGGAGTAGAAGCAACTTCCCAGCTGAGTTGATATTTGAACAGCATCTTCAAGAGCAGATACAATCTTGGCAAATCATGTAGAAGGAAAAAAACACCATTTGAGTGGAGGTCCAACTCCTGGAGTTTGCTTCCTTAACTTTGCATTCCCATCAAAACCATACACATCGTTTGGCCTGTTTTGAGAGGAATGGGAAGATCCCTTGATGGTCTGTGTGTGGTAGTGTGTGCATGAAGCTCTGTGGGTTTGGCCTAGGGTGGAGAGACGGCAAGAAGGAATAAGGTGAGAGATTATGACTCTGAAATGGGACAAGACCTAAACGGTAGTGAAAGAATAGCTCTGGGACCTCAACGTTGTGTAGGTTAGAGACAGATGCTGTAGCTTGGGATGAGTTCTGTTTTAGACACACTGTAAAGCTGACATGTGAACAGAAGTCTCTAAAGGTAGCTGAATTTAGATTTAAAAAATGATGTCCATTGTTCATTTGCATGATCAAATTGAAGTTTATTTCCTCACCTGAGAGGATGTCAGGAGGGTGGATTCATTCAGCAGTTCAATAATGTCATTAAAGACCCATTCGTGGCCATTCATCTGAGGCTGTTTCGCCATCCATGAGGGTGGCCTCATCCTAAGGGTAGTTACTATCATGATTACAAGATGGTTGACAGGCTTC